TGCTTCTACTTAATGAGATCTAAATTTTATTTTTCTAAACAAACAAGGATGACTGCTATTCATTGGCTATAGCATCTAGTTTTCGTTTAAGATGACCAGGTTCATCAGAAACAAAATGCAATAGAAAACTCCACATTCCTTTCAAACAGTATTCTTATTTTGTAATATTTTAATACTTAAATCTTTATTTGCTAAAAGTACACTCCTTAGATTCTTCAGTAGCCTGTTCACCCATTTATACATAAACTAATGCTACTGAAATGAATGCAATTTCTTCTCATATAAGTGTGCGTAATTTAAGCTGTAAATTCCTAGGACACTTTTGAACAGAAGCCTGATACCGTAGTATCACCAATCATAAACTATTTCTCTCAGGGGGAAAAAATGGCAGAAGAGGTGGAGAAAATTGGAAGATTATAGAAAACAATTTAGTTGGACACCCCGTATAATTTTTGAGCAAGAGAGATCTCTCATAACTCAAAATGTACTCCAGAAATTCCATCTCTCCCAAAATACTTCAGATTCTTACTTTCCAAAAGTGTCACTAAAATATACCCCTAAGCATTTTTTGTGCATTTTTATGCTTAAATCAAGCTTATGAATTTGACTGAACCTTGTCTTTGTGAGCACAGCATAACTCTTTAAAAACATCTATACTTATTTTATATCTCCCAATAGAGCATTCTATTGTGTTACACAAGTTCAAATATAGAACATTTAAAGTATTTTCTTCCAGTCAAAGTGATACCAGATGCTCTTGACAACAAAGAACAAAGCAGAAATAATGGAGGAAAGGCAAGCAGCAGAGTGATAACAAAGTCTCATGATTAAAGCTCCCCCTAAAACAAACAGGCCAATGATGTCAACATCACCAAGAGTCAGGTTTTGAGTTGGTCTTATCAATGGCCTTTCCCTAAATTAAACACAAGTTGAAACTTTACAGATTAGGAACCATGCAACAGAGGACACTGAACTTGAAATAGAAAACAAGGCAGGCTCCAGAGAAAATTGAAGATACATTTTTATTTATTCAAGCTGACCATCAGACTCTATTCTGATTCTAGAATCTCTGTGAAATGTTGTTGCCAACCTTTATTCAGCACTCCATTGTTCTACAGATTGTTGCACACAAAGCAAATCAAGCAGGAAAGGAATGATTGGGAATTAATATTTGGAAATATTAGGAATACTGAAGAAAATTGGATGCAGTGATTGCAAGATTTGTCTTCATTTTGTGATCAGATTACCATTGTCCCCTAACCCAATTGCAGCCTTTCAGATAGTTGGCAAGTTAATGGAAAGAGAGTATTTTAAGTTCTGAGTGAACAACACAAAGAACCAAACACGAGGATAATCAGAGCAGGGGTGGAATTTGATTAATTCCATTTGCATACAATTACTGGAAACTTTGGGAATGCTGCAATTGTAATAGTAAAAAGACAAAGAATAAAACTACTAGCATTGTGCAGTGCTTCAATTCAGTTCCAAAAAGGTGCTGGAAGCAATGGGTGCAAATTTAGGGCCCAACAACTGCAACTACTTAGAGCAAATACATCTTTTCCTGGGATTGCATGGCAACAGTGGAGGGAAGCCATTTGATCCTAGGACAGGTGTTAAATTTGCACTCCTACTAACTCCAAATTATCTTTCATAATCAAATCCAATCTGCATAGACCTAGAAAATGTAGGATGGAAAACAAATGATGGGTCATCTGCATAAAGCAGAGTTGTGTCCTGGGGATGAGTGACACCAAGAAATGGTGAGAAGAATGTTATCCTTTCTCTCAGCTTGTTCTTCCACCTTTCTCCAAGAAGAATTTGGCTAGTTTCATGCTGGAAGCAGTTTCGATATATCAGGCTTCAGCCTATCAGCCTAGTTCCTCTAGACAAATTCTGAAGAGATGGCTGGGGGGCAGAGGGGAGAGATGAAAAAGTGATCTGAACGTATTGCTGTGGCTGAACCTTGACAATCTGATCAGATAAAGAACAGAAAAGAAAGACCCACTTCAAAATACCATTGTTTTATAAAAAAAAATGATACAAGGAGAATAATCCTCCCAACAAGAATTTTACCAAATCATGATCTATGTCTAGGGACTGAAGCAGATCTGGCAAATGGTAAACTCAAAGAAATCATAGTTTATAATTCAAAATCAGCAGCCTGAGTTGTCTTTCAAACATAGGATTATTACTGGGTAGTGCTCACCTTTGATATAGCAGTGTACTCTTCTGCAGTCCATTATATTCCACTACAAATGCAACCTCTTCTAGATATTTTTGTGAATCAAGATGGTTGCATCATTCTCTGAGAGATGGACCCAATCTATGGGCATCTCTTCGCTACCATCTTATGAGAAATCACTCAGTGTAAATTACAAAATGAGTAACAAAGAGCTAAATTCCTTTAGTGACAGCAATGATTAGTTGGCCATTTCAGAAACTTCTGGCAGAAACTTGCCTTTCCCCTGGCAATCTTTGCTGCCCCTTTCTTACCCTCTCTTTCCCTTAGGCAGTCTCAGGGTGGGATGCAGGAGGCCATTTGTTATGAACTTCTAATAGATATTGGAAACTTCAATATACTTGGCAGCTAGTAAAAAATAATAATTTTGAAAGGGGTCACAAGGTGAATTCTTTCATTTGAGTGCTCCCAAAGTTTTGCATACAAAGACAAATAAGTGTTCTGAGCTGAAGAGAGTTGTGAATAATGCTTCTTCAGAGAAGTAGCTTCCCCTGTGTCCTATGGAGTCTATTTTTCATTAAGGGTTTAAATATGTTTAGGTTTCAGTTTGACAAAACAGAAAGCAGCCCCAGTTCCCCATTCCAAAACTGGTCAAGGGAATCTCAGTTCCGACAATCTCCCATGTTCAGATTATTTATTCCAGTTAGTCACTGGACAGAATCAAATCCAAATGTCCAGTTTTGCAAAACAGATATCCCCAAAAGAAATTTTATCAAGATCTGATATTTGAAAATTATACATCAAATTGACATTAGTTAATATTAGTTAAAATATTATTCTGAATATTTTTCAGAATATTAACTATTCTGAAAAACCCATTTTTCAGAAGCTTGACATTTCATGGGCAATTGTATTTCAGTGATTTTTTTTATTTTGTTATATATTGGGGAATGGTTGCTAAACAGGGCATTGGTTAAGCAAGACTTCCTGTATTGAATTATCACAACAAAGGAATTTCACCATGGTATCTTAACAATAAAAAAATAATCCTCTTTAAAATAAGAGTTTATCCAACTTTCTGCTTGCTCCATTGCCATTAAAGGTTGCCCATCACTGCCTGAGTGCAAGAATGTATGATTTGATGACATTCTCCGTCTACTTCCATCATTTTGCAAACTTGAAGCTTGTTTTCTGTTTCAAAATTACCATCTTCCATCTAAGCAATGTTAGACCTTTTCAAGTGAATGGCCTGCACACCGCCTTCTCCTCTAGTGACAGCTCTGATTGGCTACAGAAATATACATATAACTTCCATCCAACTTCTGGTCACTACTCTATGCAACCATTTCAACTGGGTGCCAGGTTCCTATGTTATCCACTGGTCAGCAGTTGCCATTTTAATTATCTTGTGGTTAATCCGACAATGCACTTTCCTTGTGCTGTGTTTTTCCAGCCTGTTTAAAAGTTTATTGCTCCTTTCAATCCATATAGCTGCCTTTTGTGGCCACCCATTTGGTTTCCACTCAGATTAGATATAGCATGGAGTAAAACCTAGGAATTGGTAAAGATGAAACTGTCTTGGAAGCTCGGAAGACTAAATCTCTGGTCCCAGTGATTGACCCAGACTGGATCTTGCACATATATTTGTCTTCATTCATGAGAGATGAAACAATTCCTAAAAGAAAAAGGCAAACAGACACTGACCGTTGCTTTCCTGCTTGGGTGGGAAGGACAAAAAAAAATTGTGTGGTAGACCCAACATAGACTGAACTGACTCCATTGCCAACCCAATGTCTAATAAATGTGGCCCAATTGCCAAGCACCCAAAGTCTAGTCATGTGACCATGGAGGGGGGAGCAAGCATTTAAACTTCCAATCCAGGTTGTAAGTACCCTCAAGTCCAACAGAACATCAAATGATGCCGAAGTTGAGGTCTATCTGTAAAGCAAAAGAATGCCCTATGAATTTAACTATGTGAACTGTTTCTCCAGTTACTTCATAATTCTTTTCCTGATTGTTTGCCCACTTACAAGACACTTAAATACCTAAGCATAAATCTAAAATAATCACCTGTATCCTTGTTCTATTTTTGAACATTTTCTCCTCCAACTCCAGCTTATCATTATGCAAAATTGCTCTTTCCCCCTCCTTTGATCCTTTTGTTTATATTAAGGCCTATACCTCAAGGAGTTTATTTATTATGTGCCACTGGTAACACCTTGTTACTGACACAGGACTGGTTGAGCTGGATTGATTGGCATTATTATCATTTAAATAGGTCAAATTGTTGCATTTCTGTGTTGCCCTTCATTCCAACATATTTACTGAATGGAAGCTCACACACTGAAGTTCTTGGAATGGCTGCTCTGAATACAACCAGAATCCTCAAGGCTCTGCTGTAGAAACTCTGGGCACCTAGCTCATGTGTGAAACAAGAGATACAGCAGACACTAATCCCATTTTCTTCATGATAAAACCATGGTAGAGGAAAACTGAAGGTCTGGCTCACGATTAACAACAGAAGAGCAGTGTCATCACAGCAGTATCATCACTGTGATACTCAGCACTTGGCCATGTGTGTGTGTTTTGAACTTGCTCTTCCTCCCACACCATTAAATTCCAGGAGGCCTTCCTTAAGGGAGTGATGTCTCAAGAGAGGCCCAATCCCTGGTTTCTGGAGAAAGGGCAAGGGCAAGGGCAAGGGGTGGGACTTAGAAAAGAAAAATCTAAAACACAAGTTAATGGGGATAAGGGTAAGAGAAGAAAGCTAACTCATTTTGCTAACAGACCTTCTTTTGGTGATGCTCACTTCCTTCTCCAGTTGACTTCCATTTCACTTTGAGGTGAAAGATTTCATGAAGCAAAAATGATTGAAACTCGGTCACGCTACATCATCAACCGTCCAGCTTATTCTAGCAACTACTTTGATGAAGAGTTTGACAGGAAAAGTAGAAGTTATCCCCTTGGAGAGAAAATAAAGAGTCTTTTCAGGTAGGTGGGATATTATAGATTGTAAAACACACATGCTCTCCAGATTTTTGGATACCCTAGCCCTTGATGGTAAATGTATTAGTCCTCTAGATTTTTTTCAATAGATATTGTCAAATTGAATATCTAATTTTTGTTTGTACAATCCAAAAGCAAAGAGACCAACTTTCATCCCAGGAATCTTTTCCAGTAAATTTAATCCCAGATTTTTTTCCCCCAGTCAATTCATTCAGAATTTGCAGTCAAAGGACCTGGCATCAGGGGTACCAATTATCCAAATCTTAGAGACATTGAAAAGATGTGGGAAATAGTCCCAGGTTTCTTCTTTTTTGATAAGATGTTGTTTAGTAAAGGACAAGTAGAATATGTTTCCATTGCCAAGGCCAAGTAAGATTAGAATAGGCAAACTATGCGAAGAGGAAAATACAAAATTACTTTCCAACTTTCATCAACAGAACGTCATAAAGGATGCAGATAAGGGAACTGCCTGTACTAATTCAGTGCCAACACACCTTTCATTTGCCTTTATTTGTTATTGAGCAAATATGATGCTTTTTATTAAGAAAGAAAAGAACAAAAATATTGGTTAGTAGCTCCTAAGAAATTTTTCATATATATGTATATGTGCATATACAGACATGTACAGGCACACCCAACACATTACAGGAATACTTTTAAAAAGTAAGCAATAGTGAAGAACAAAAAGACATTTGTGCAAACTATGGAGCCTTTAAAAAAAACATTTTCTTTTTTTAAAAAAAGCCTTGCCCTTTATTATTTCAAAGCAAGTTTTAAATTATTTTTTTTTCCAAAAATGCTTTGTGGTTCAGGGCATGGACATTTTTACATTTAGCTTTTTTCAAAAAATGTGGGTCAAAATACATAAGAGAATTTCCAAGCTGCATTACAATTTCTTAGTGTGGTATTATTTCTACTTCACCTGAAGAAATGAGGTGTGGTACACATAACAAAATAAACGACCTCTTGTCTTTGCCCTGAAGCCTACAGTCTGAAAGGCTATAAGGAAAGGAGTCTAGGCAAAAACAGAGGTCAGAGCAAAAGGTGAGTTTTGATCAGTCCATCACCAAAATTAGCCATGCAGTTTTGTGCTTTGTGACATCTATCCCACCATCCATCTTCATCCAGCCTTTCAAATAAGGGGGGGGGAATCCTTTCAATCAATCCTAATTCCTGGCAATAGAAACTTGGTTTGATCCCTATTTTACAATCAAGCATAGACAAATGAATGTTTACATTTGTCCTTCATATGTAATAAAACATTTTATATTGGGGGTGTCATATGCATGCCTAATTATCCTCTGAGTTTTCAACTTTATTTTGAAAACAAGAAAGAACATACCCAATTTAATGCAGAATATCGATAATAGCATAATTCAAGTGTAAGAAATATGAAAATAACAACCGGACTCTGTAGCAAGAACATTTTCATTATGGTATTATTTGAATAGTATGCTTCTACTGTTGTGACTTGTATGCATGTCATTTGATGTATGCCTTTGGTAGATGTCAGTTAAATGAAGGCATAACCGAACTAGCTTTACTTAAGTAAACTGGATGCATTACTTTAAACTACACAGCAATTCTCATGTTGACTTTAGATTTGGGTGGCACCCAATGTGACTGAATGGTCTCTTAAGTGGACAGCGATGGAATTATGCCAAATAAATAATTGCTTTCTGAATGATCTCATAGATACATGATCAGAGCTACTTTAGATTCTTAGTCGAAAAGAACCCTTTTCAGTAGCAAATGTACAACACACCTCTTATGTTAGATATATTAATGCTTAACCAAAAGCAACAGTAGCTTAATTATTGCCACTTATTACCAAAGTTATTGAAAATTAAAAGCCTGACAGCTTTCATGTTTAACCAGGAAACCTAGTTCAGGTTGAAGGACTTCTTTAGCTGTGATTAACTCCTTATGCTTTCAGAATTAACTTTTTTTTATTCAGCTTTTTTTTTTTTTTTTTTTTGCTTTCTGCTGATATTTATTCTTTGCTGGAGTGATTTTGTGTATAATGGTTTCTATACAAGTTTGGTATTTGTTTAGTACAGAAACTGTCTCATTTACGGCTCCTAGTTTTCTAACTATAGGATCACATTGGTGCAAACAGACTTACATTGTGTGTATTTTATCTGTGAGTTGTAATACTCTGATCAGCCTTGCTGATGTGCCTTGTTGGGCTGCTGAGTCAATAAGAAGCCTATTCTGAGTACAGATGAGATTGAAGAGAAAGAGAAAACAATCATCTTGAAATCCTTATTTATTGTTTAAGGTAGCTGGATTGAGATTACTGTTTTATAGTGGTGGAGTTTAGTTCTAGAAGATAGTAGACTTCCTCCACCACTCCTCCCTTATTCTAATTTATACCATAACCATTACAGTAATGCAGCACTTACACTGAATTAAGAGTTATAACTGCTGTCATTAATGTTGTTGTTGCAATATCACTGTTTCTTTACACCTTAAATTTAAATGCTATACAGTAAAGGATTTTGTAATGATCTTATCAGTGTGCAATCAGTGTAACAGAGCAGTAGGCTATTACTGGAATAAGCTATAATCCTATGCATGCTAACTCTAACTACAGTGCATACTTATGCCAATGTGATATTTCAGTTTTGTTCTTTTTAATAAATTTACAGACATGAATACAATTCTGTTTTTACTTTGCTATTATGGGATACTGAGGGTAGATTAATGAGAAAAAAAATGAATTTTAACAACTGTAGAATCAGGCTGCAGCATAACAAAATTGACAAAAGTGAAGGGGGTCTTAATACTTTCTGAATGCACTGTATGCATTGGAGCATGTGCTTTACTAGGTTCAAATTTGTGCATTTCTAGTTAAAAGGTGAGATTAAATAAGGCCTCTAGAAACCTTTTAACCAATTTATATCTGTTCTGACTCAGTCCAACACATCCCGGAAAGAAGGCTGTACTAAAGTAATTATGAATTTCCTTAGACGTAAACATTGACTGAACTAGGCAGTTAAGTGCTGTTCTATCCAATTGATTTCTTCTTTTCCATTCCTGAAGTAGGTCACTTAGGACTATTTTGTTCTCTTAGCTAATTTAGTGAACATGTTGTACTATGTTTCCTTGCATTGATAATATAGGAGTTTATTAGAATAATTGGTGTTTAATTTCCCAATAACATTCTAAATATAACCATTATGCTAAATTTTGATTTAGTTTGAAATTTTGGTATGCAAAAACTTGAAAACAATTCAAAACTTAGGCCAGATATTATTTTCTCTGGAGTTTGATGAAGCCTGGATTCAGGGCATTACATACAATATGAAGATAATTGTGAATAATAGGAGAGAGACTTTTTTTTTCATTTCTATGATGTGCTGTGTGGGTGGTGAAAACAAACCTGAAATGGTAGCTCTTTGCTCTAGTTGCATGTTCAGATAATGAATAATCATCTGCCTTCCCATGTTACAGAATTAACCTCATAGTAAATATTTCCTATGAATGCCTTTTCTCCTCAGATGTTCACCATCCAGACTCAAACTCATCCTTTACAGTCTATTTCCCATACTTGTATGGCTTCCAAAATACAAAATCAGAGATTACATTGTGCCTGATGTCCTTGGTGGAGTAAGTGCTGGAACTATTCAAGTACCTCAAGGTAAAAGAAACTTGCCTTTCCCATATTATTCAAACAGTATTGGGTAGTATAACTGTTGGACACATTTGCAAAAAAAAAAAAAAATCCTTATATGTTTCTTGCTCCTACATTCCATATAAATCCTATTTGCAATCCTATTTGCTTAGGTTCAGTTTGTCAATGAGCCCTGGTAGCACAGTGGTTTAAGGCACCCTGTTATTAAACTGGTTATTAAGACCAGCTGCCTGCAATTACTGCAGGTTCGAATTTCACCAAGGCTCAAGGTTGACTCAGCCTTCCATCCTTTCTAAGGTAGGTAAATTGAGGACCCAGTTGTGGGGGCAATAAGCTGACTTTGTATAAATATACAAAAGGATGAAGGCTATTGCTGAGCACATTGTAAGCCACCCTGAGTCTCCGGAGAAGGGCGGCATATAAATCAAATAAAAAAAAAATGCAGTCAATGAAGTAGCAAAATTTGCAGTTTTCTTTTTTTGGGGGAGGGGGGAAGTCTACCCAAGCATTTAAAGAATTATTTGGGTATAACTTTCCAATTTCCTATTTGTGAAGTATGAAATAGCAGAAAATGTCTGGTTCTCACAAAAATATGGGTTCAAACACTATAGTTGTCCATAATAGAGATTGTTTGCTTTTGCAAACCCAAATGTTGTTTGTAAAATATTGTTTATAAATTACTATAGTGCATTAAGCAGGAAAATTGTGAATTATTCAATTAACATGGTTAAACAAACCACAAAACCATGTCCAAATATAGCCACCTTCTATTACCTTCAAAAAAGAATACATCATTAACATTAGCATGGGCATATTGTAGGAATATAATATAAACCCATTTTAGGGTTTAAACCCTTTACACAGATTCATATAGGTAATATGAATGCGTCTATGTAAGGAGTGTCAAACTTGCAGCGTCATGGCGATGTCACATGACGTATCACAACTTTTATCCCCTTCGCTTAGCTGACCGTGGGTGTGGCCAGTGCTTGACGCATCCGGCTCACCAGCCACGAGTTTGACAGCCCTGGTCTATATGAATTGTCTTGTAATACCAAAAATATTAACTTCTAATTTTTTGTAATTTCACCCTTATCCTGCTTTTTGTAGAACTCCTCTCCAACATCTATCACTGTTCTGTTACTTTGCCTCATTAAGGTTGGGCAACATACAGACTTACAATCAATCACAGGCAGTCTATGTACTAATTTTCATTGCAACTATTAACTTAATTTCAAAAGTCCTCTGCACTTCTTCCAGAAACCTGCTTGGAAAGAAGAATACAAAAGGAAAAAGGAAAGAAAAAGAAAAAGGAGGGGGGAAGCAAAGAATATATCTTCAAATATTTCAGCTTTACCCATCTTTGGTTTAACCAACACCAGCAGACAAACACCAGGCAGACAAATTATCCCGAAAGACTAATAGTGCCACATAGGTTCCTATGTTATAATATCTTTTCTGAACATATCTATAGCACCTTCCATAAAACATTCATCACAGGATGAGCCCTGGAAAGCAGATATGAGAGTGTCATATTTTTGCATTATGTGATCTTGAGTGTAATTGTAGAAGGAAGATTTGATATGTTCTTCATGTTTGTTTTCAGGCATGGCTTTTGCCCTGCTGGCCAACCTACCTCCAGTCAACGGACTCTATTCGTCTTTCTTTCCTTTGATTACCTATTTTTTGCTAGGAGGTATTCATCAGATGGTCCCAGGTAAGATTTCATTTTCCATTTTAATATTTACTGAATGCACATATTACATGTTTGTAATCCTAGTGCATGAAATTATATTATCTGGATGTTTTTTTTCTCAATTTGCTATCAAATGCTTTCATGAAACAACTATAAAATATTAGTTTCTTGATTATGATTAAAGCCAGAGTGAGTCAAAGAACTTCCTTTAGAGTGTAATCAATCACCAATTAACTGCTACTACTAATTTATATGCAATCCGGATATATTGTACTTCAAAGGACATTTGACTGTTAATTACAGGACTTAAATCTAACATACTGTCAGGTATGCCTCCTTTCAGTACTCAAAAAGAAAAACCCCAACTCCATTTTTATAGAGAAAGGTACTTTTACTGAATATGAACTGAATGCAACCAAAGAAAAGCAAGGTCTGAGGCAATAGGCGCGAAAATGACATACAGAAAGCAGCCCCAAATCCCTCCCTCCCAAGGGACAAATCAGGATTTACCAATCCACATCCCCCCCAAGGTGTCATGTGGGGTGCAGCTTCAGATGGCTCCATCCTACTGGTATGCCAGGACGGTTAACCTTGACTGGTTATCAGCACGCCTCCCAGCTGCAGAGAAAGTGCTGAGGGAAACTTTCTCCAATTCACTCCCTGTTACAAGACATCTCTACCAGCTCGCTTCCCCACTCCCAACTACCAATACAGCTCCCCCCTCCCCCCCATTACAATGGCAGCCATAGCAAGCAAACAAAATAGAAGTGGAGGCTGACACATACATTGATGGCATCAGGTTGAAGAAGATTGATCTTGGAATTACCAGTAATTTACAGACTAGCTACAATATGAGAAGGTACTCAGCTCAAAAATGTAACATAAGTTTCATATGTGTTTCCAAACAGGTACATTTGCAGTCATCAGTATTATCGTAGGAAATGTCTGCCATGAGCTGGCTCCGGATTCTGAATTTCAATACTTTAACCACACAGCCAATGAAATTATGGTTAACAACACAGCCATGGAAGCAGCCAGATTGGAGATCTCTGCCACCTTGGCTTGTCTGACAGCCATAATACAAGTAAGAGTTTTTTGCATACAAAACTATAGGAAATGTCCATATGACCTACAATTCCAGTGACTGAATGTCTGATAGAATTTGCAACCAGAGTGGGAACGCATATGGATCTCATGTTTATGCTAAATTACAATTTCCAATAGCCTTCGAAAACATGGTTTATAATACAAGGAGTTGTAATTTATCAACAAATGGAAGATTATATGTTCCCCATCACTAGTTTTATTGTCCTTATCTGTATTTCTGCACTGCAGATTTTGATGTACTCTATGCACTGTGCTACTGCTTTATAAGTTCCTCTTATAAGAATCAAGAAAGCATTAAAATCTGAATTCTTCCCTATCTTGACTGAAATATAATTTTAATAGTTGTTGCATAATGGGAAATCTATCAATCTACATGTCATAGACAGACAGGCAGACAGGCAGATGATAACAATAAAGAGGAGGAGGAAGAGGGAGAAGGAGAAGGAGAAGGAGAAGGAGAAGGAGAAGGAGAAGGAGAAGGGGGAGATTAGAATAGGTCAACAGTTTTTATCATTAGAACAATAGACATGGAACACAAATTAATTAATGGAGATGTTCTTTCCATGTTTCATAGCACTTAAATATTGGTGTGTCCCAGGAATCCTGTCTTCCACATCTTCAAAAAGTCATTAAGCAAATGGTCATAATCCAAGGACTACCTCTAGCATATCTTTCCACACATTAGTGGTTGTGCCAATTTTTTATTAACTGAAATCTCTTTCTCTGACAAATTCCATTTATTATTGCATCTCACATGCCTGACCATCTGTCTGTCCATAGATATGCCTGGGATTTGTGCAGTTTGGCTTTGTAGCCATCTACCTTTCAGAATCCTTCATTAGGGGTTTCATGACAGCAGCTGGCCTACAGATCCTCATCTCGGTTCTCAAGTATATCTTTGGTCTGAAGATTGAAGCCTACACAGGACCCCTTGCCATTGTCTATGTAAGTGAGCCTGATACTATGATTATTGCTAAATCTTATGAGATTGGGTGCACAATCAGTGGGATCAAGAATAGCACACAGATAGCTGGAATTTACATATGATTAAAAAAGAAAGAAAGAAAGAAAGAAAGAAAGAAAGAAAGAAAGAAAGAAAGAAAGAAAGAAAGCAGGATAGTGACTTATTGAGGAAAAAGAAAGACATTTTCCTTATATTCTATTTACTTTTAATTCTCCAAAAATATCTTCTCTCACTTTCACTAGTTTTAAAATATTTAAGTGTAATTTTGACTTAATTACCAAAATGGGGAGTTTCACCTATTTCCATATAAAGGTAAATGTAAAGGTTTCCTCTGTCCAGTTGTTTCCAACTCTAGTGGCAGTGCTCATGTCCATTTCTTAGCCAAGGGAGCCAGTACTGTCAAAAGACATTTCCGTGGTCATGTGGCCTCCATGACTATTCGCCGAGGTACACAGAATACAAAATGTAGAATTATAGTTATGAATTATTCCAGTGGTGAAATGCACTTATCTTCTGACTGGTTCAGGAATGTGAGCACGTGCGCCTCTTCTGCACATGCGCAGAGCCTTCCGCACATGCACAGAGGTTCAAAAACAGGACGTAATGACATCCCGGCGGGTGGCCAGAGCCTCCCGCCACAACCGCTACTGGTTCGCGCGAGCCAGATAGTTCTGGCTGGATTTCACCGCTGAATTATTCCCCAAAGATAAATGCCCCCTGGATGGACCCAGGAAGAGCCAATTTATCAGTGTCCTCTGTAGGAGCCGCAGGCTAGGAGGTGGGATGGTTTCGGAGTGATGCAGTCTGTATCATAACACAAGCTCCTCCCCTTTTCTACATGTACCGCAATGTTGTACTCATACCCCAAAGGGCAGAGCTTGCTAGATGATATTGTGACACTGCTGCCACCATTCTGATGAAAGTAGCAAGAGACTGCTGCAACTCACTGTACAAAGAGAGGAATTACCAAAACTATAATACGAAATCATTAATAATGATGAAACAATTTTTTCTTACTTCAAAACACAACTAATTAAACTATATGAGAATCAAATGTTTATGAAAGAAAATATTATTGCTTTTAACCAATAGGATGGTTAAGGGGGCTTTAATTAAATTGATACATATTCATTTCCAAGGTAGCAACAGTTATTTAAATTTCTCATTGTGATTGAAAGATGTATAAGAATTTGGACACGGTGGTCTATAATAATTAATACTAATGTAAATTTATTGTACATTTTCCTAGAAAATATATATATATTATATAATATATGGGCGAAAAAAGCATTGGTTGAAAAATTAGCATAGCAACAAAAAGTCTTGAAGAAAACTTTAAAGAATATATTATTGGCATCTGGTGTCTATTATTTATAACACAATAACAGTAGGGTACTTCTATTTTAAAAATTGATGGAAATATTGAATATGGTACTACAGTGTATTTATATTAATTCCCAGTTATTTTACTTTTTGCTCATGAGCAAAAATTGTTTTCTGGACTTTTATTTCTCTTAGATTTTTTAAATTATTTTTAATATTTGTTGATAACATTGTTAAAGTGTTGTTGTTGTTGTTGTTTTAAATAAAAGAAAGAATAAAGTCTGAAGCCAAGGGAAAAATATTAGGATTCCGCTGTCTGCCAAATCTTATACCAAAACTTGAATTTTATTATATAAAATTTTCCCAAATCACTGCAACAGAACAAGTAAACATAATTTTGCCTGGAACATGTTTTCTTTCTGGGCAACTCTTGAATCTTAAGACCCCAAATGCCAAGGTTTTTGCAATATTAAGGAATGAGCTTACAAATAGCAGACAGTTACAATTAATTCTAGTCCATTTTAATTATAAAGGATTAGGAGAAAGCCTTCATAGAGTTTTGGAGTTTCTCAGTTACCTGTTGTGAGCCTCTTGAATTTTCTTCTAAAGTCTCAGCAGGATGTTCAGGTTAGATTAAATATATCCTGTCTGGTCAGGCCCTGTTTACTGACCTTTTAATTAATTCAGAGTTGGCTACTATCAGAACTGCACTTTTTTTTTTGTATTGCTTTGAGTGTTGGCTACTACTGCAAAATGCAGATTTCTAGGTTAAATAATGGTCCCCAATTTTTACATGTTGACTAACAAACACCATAGCGTATTTTCCACTCTAGCTGGCATGTTGAAAAACCGCATGTTCTCTCTTTCTTGACTAAACCTCCAGACCTTTATTGATATTTGCAAAAACCTATTGAAAACCAACGTGGCTTCCTTGGTGTTTGCTCTGATCAGCTCTGTGCTTCTCATCATTGTGAAAGAGCTAAATATGAAATATATGAAGAAGATTCGAGTCCCAATTCCTATGGAGATCGTTATAGTAAGTAGCAGTTACAGATGTTTTCATTCACCTATTTTCCTTGGGATCGGTACTTTTCAGAAGCAGAGATAAATTGAAAAAAAATAACTTTTAAGGCTGAGGTAGCATGCCTTTTTGTTGTTCATTTTAGGAAATGCTGATTTCATTATAAGTGAAAGTGCAGTACATATGGCAATGTAAGAAGACAACTATTTCATACAGTAATTTCAGAACTATTGTACATAAATTCAAATCACTGGGGCAATGAGATTACTACTGAGATACTAGTAGACTCTTGCTTACTTATATTTTATGGAGGTTCCAAGATTTCAAAAGCAACCATCCCAAAAATATTGCAACCTAGATATGTTGAACTCCATATTTCCCAGCCTGCATGGTCTTTGTTATAATTGCAGTCTCAAAACTATTGTCAGATATGGGGTGACTTTGGTCATCCAAGATAAAGCTTTGGTTGACCTTGATTGACTTACATTTCAATGCATCCGGGTTCAACATCCTTGAACTATTCAGTAGAAAATGTACATGCAGGTAATGCAGCTTTATTCTAAAGCATTGAAATATGATTAGAAAAAAAGTATAGTAAGATGCTTACATGTCTCTGGTACGTGCTGACATCCAGGGAGTATTGGTGTAATTAGAGCTGTGGGAAATGCACACATTTTGGCAAACAATGTCTTTGGTTTCAGTTTGCAATCCATCCAGAATTGCATTCCTGTGAAATGAGCATTGCTTGCTAATATGGGAACCTCTTAACCAAATTTTCCCTGTTCTGTATGAAAGACAATAATGGATACAGAATAACAGGAAAAGAGTTTATGGTAGTTTCAAAAACTATAGTGAGCAAAACAGTTTCTGAGAAAATGGGTATTTTGTAGAAACTATTAGTAGTAAACTCAGAACAAGAGCCCAGTAAGAACTTTCTCTCGTAAATACCGATCATGTTTAAATCTGGAGATCTAAACAGTCAACTATGTTAGCCCTTGCAAACACTATACATGTTCGAATCTTAGATCGTCCTCAGATTCTAGCACTGTGTTCTGATTTTGCATATTGAGGATTTCCTCCATAGGCTACCTTGAAATTAGTGCCTTTGTAAATTGAAGTATTATGATCTAATTACTTTGTTAAACATGCAATACCCACTTCTATCATTAGATATTAGGGAGGCACTATGTGCAACTCCACTTTGATTTTTATGATCAGGCTACACTTGCACTTTCTGGGGGCAATTAAACTTAATAATAAAAAATAAAAAAGATGGGTCATAACATTCAGGGCCTTTATTATTCAGACACTACTGCTCTGAAATAAACCAACCGATAGGCAAAAACATATAATGAAGCACAACTGAGGTACAGATAGGCAAAAAATAATGGACACCTGGTGTTTATCCAGAAAAGTTTAGCAGCCAAAATAAACCATTCAGCTGCTTATCTCACCAAAATACTGTCTTTGGTCCCTCAGTGATGTCTGGGTTACCATATCCTCACTAGAAGTAAGAATTTAAAATGTTGGTGATAAGTTAGATGAATGAATCAAAATCATAGAATAAAATTCATTCAGCTAGGAAATATTTGCAAGTAATAGCACCTGTGAAAAAGTTCTTGGAATAGTATTATGTAGGAGCCCAAAGTGTGATATCATTGCAAAAAAGACAAATGCAGTTTTTAAAGTGCATCAACAAAGCTATAGTTTGCAGATTAGTTTTCCTTTATTCCCCTACTTAGGTGAATTGACTGAAATGTTAACAACTTAATGGTGCAACAAGGCATTCATATACTGTATATGCAGAAGTCATTTTTGCTTACTACACGAGAGATTTATGCTTTTGTACAATATAGTTTTTCATTTTTCATATAGTACTTGTTTTAAAATGAAACTAATGAGCATAGATTGATATTATGACAGTCTTGACAAGGTAATAAATACCCTTTTCAATAGGGAGGAGGAAGTAAACTTAATTCTTCCTCTTTCATAGAAAGTCGTCAACTTTTATGAACCTTGAAAGAGAGAGTGCTTGAGATTCTCAATCACACCACATTTCATGAACTTTGAGTAACAGCTTATAATATATATTGAATCTGTTTCAAACATAGGTGCTAATACACACATTATATTCTGAAAGAACGCAGTTCCAATGCTGATTAACATCACATATGAAAAATTAAGCTAAGCTAAAATTTATTTTATGCTTTGACTTCAGGTCATTGTGGCTACAGCCATTTCTGGAAGCTTTAATATGCCTGAGAAATATGACATGCCAATTGTTGGACTTATTAATATGGGGTAAGTAAATATTATTCCCTTCCAAATAGAAATATGCTAATGAAGCTGTCTCATTAGTGCCATTGTATTTGTTACATTACTAAATCTGTTGTTTCTTGAGTAAGAATTTAATTGTATAACACAATAAATTAAAATGGTGAATTAAAAATAGTAGAGTTAGATGATGGTTCTAATTAAGGAAACAGTATCAGGAATCAACAAGACAAATGGAAGGACTTAACTTCTCCTCCTCCTCTCCAGTTTCCTGTATTGTAACCAGCAGTGTTGAAAGGAAGGAAACAATGAATCTATTTGAAAACAAGTTAAATTTAACTTAGAATTTCCAATGGCTGCATTCATCATACCATTTATAAGTACCATAGAATTTTGTAGAAAGTAGAGCAGACTAAAAGTGCTAATATCTGCAAGGCTTGAATGACAATGAGTCAATCCACAACTAAATTACAGTCATAGCATAATTACAATGTGTATCATAATTATTGCTATGTGAAGCAGGTGACAACTCATTTTAGTGCTCTAATTATAAATTTACACTGTCTGCATTGCTATGATGAAGGAAATACTGGGAATCCAATAAACTACTATTTCCCAGTTTATTACTTTTTGGGTAATTTCAAGAAGATTCTGATAAACATAGATCTTTAGATGTTCTTTGGTTAATTCATGCATTGCTTTTATGCTACATTTTTCATGACATATACCACCTCTGTAGGAACCATTAATACTGTTATGGAACTTTTACTTATAGGATCAAAACCTATAGTATATATCAGTACACTGAGAAAGTCATAAGGGTTGAGTGTAGCTCAACAGCTACAGCTATTTTACTAAGGCTGCTGAACACTGAATGGGGGGGGGTGTACGGTGGCTCAGAAGTTAAAGATGCTGAGCTTGTCAGCCAGAAAGTTGACAACCTGGTTTGAGACCTGAGTGCCATGCAACAGGGAATGCTCTTGTTACTTGCCCCAGCTGCTGCTCAGCTAGTAGTTCGAAAGCATGCAAATGTGAGTAGATAAATAGGTACCACTTCGGACGTAAGGTAACAGCATTCTGTGCACCTATGGCCTATAGCTATGCTGACCACATGACCATAGAAAATATCTTTAGACAATGCTGGCTTTCTTGGGCAAAAAATGGAGATGAGCACTTTCACCTAGAGTCGGACATGATTGGACAGGGAAACCTTTACCTTTACCTTTACTGGACACTGAGCCTTAATAATATAGATGCCTAGTTATTGTTTGCAAAATATTAAACTTACAAGGCTCCTCTAGCCATACAGGAACATTCAGGAACTCAGAAAATACTATTTTTTTTTTTTAAAAAATATTATAATAATTTAATAATTAATCAAATGTAAATGTCACCCAACTCCTAGCATACTCTGGGTATCTTCCAAATTAAAAACATTTAAAACCAGAAAACCCCCAAAAAATGAGCAAAGCTGGCAGAGACAACAAACTCAGGTGGAAAGAAAAAAACAGAAAGAAAGGGGACTTCAGTCACATTCAGCAAAGATCTGAGATAAAAGCCAGGACTTTGGTATGGAATTTTGTTTCCATGCTAAGAACAAAATGTTCTAGTCTGATTTATCAGTTTCAAACTGAACTGTGGGCTTTTATGTCAAGCTTGTTTTTCTTCTTTTGGTTCTAGGTTTCCATCTGCCACACTTCCACTAGTGGGCAAATGGAAAGATATGATTGGCCCAGCATTTTCACTTGCCATTGTGGGCTATGTGATCAATCTAGCCATGGGCAGAACCCTTGGTAACAAGCATGGCTACAATGTGGACCCAAATCAGGTAATCTTGATAACTGGGAAATATATAGAATGATTGCATGGCTTTTGTTGTTGTTAGTTGCAAAGTCATGTCCAACCCATCGCGACTCCATGGACAATGTTCCCCCAGGCCTTCCTGTCCTCAACTATCCTCTGGAGTCCATTTAAGCTCACACTGACTGCTTCGGTGACTCCATCCAGGCACCTCATTCTCTGTTGTCCCATTCTTCTTTTGCCCTCAATCTTTCCCAGCATTAGGTTCTTCTCCAGTGAGTCCTTCCTTCTCATTATGTGCCAAAGTATTTGAGTTTCATCTTCAGGATCTGGCCTTCTAAAGAGCAGTCAAGGTTGATCTCCTCTAGGACTGACCGGTTTGATCACCTTGCAGTCCAAGGGACTCCCAGGAGTCTTCTCCAGCACCATAGTTCAAAGGCCTCAAATCTTTGGCGCTCAGCTTTTCTTATGGTCCAACTTTCACAGCCATACATTGCAAGTGGGAAAACCATAGCCTTGACTATACACACTTTTGTTGGCAGGGTGATGTCTCTGCTTTTTAGTTTGCTGTCTAGATTTGCCATAGCTTTCCTCCCCAGGAGCAAGTGTCTTTTAATTTTTTGGCTGCAGTCCCTATCTGCGGTGATCTTGGAGCCCAGGAAAATAAAATCTGTCACTACCTCCATTTCTTCCCCATCTATTTGCCAGGATGCATGGCTTACCTGACCATAATTCCAATGCCACCATTTCCAAGGCTGGAAATTTAAATATAGATAGTCCTGGACTTACTACCATCATTGAACCTAAGAATCAGTCATAAGTCATGATGGTTATAAAGCAGGTTATCACATGAACGAACTGATTTAATGACCTTTTTTTGCAGCGGTCATAAAGTGAATGCCACAGTCATAACTAAACCCATTCTTCATTATGGACACATTTTGCTGGAATCTAGAAGGAAAAGCTAGTTCCTAGGGGAAAAAAACATTGTAAATTATGGTAATGTGACCACAGGACATTGCAAATGGTTGTAAATGCCACATGATGAGCACCCAAATTGCGGTCACATGGTCTTAGAAGGTGTAGCCATCTGAACTTTGGAACCGGGTTATAAATTGCTTTTGTGGGAAGGGGGGGTCCATTGTAACTTTGAACAGTTGCTAAGCAACCAGTCAGAAGCCAAAGACTACTGTCTGTTATCTTCCTCAGAGAGACACGACTAGATTTATGGAAAGACAGGTAGGCAGGACTTATTGGATAATGTCACCCTCCTCTAGCCTTTTCGGATTATGTAATCCCCTAGAAACAATACAGTACGCTTATGAATAAAAAATATCTTTATATGATGCCAAGTACAGCGATAATAAATGATTTGAAGTTATTAAGAAAAATGGTTGCTGTAACTCAGCCTTTTCCAAGGAAATCTCTTATTGATGGTAAGTTGGCAAGCCTACTGAACAATTTTCTCAATACTGTATTCCGTCCAGAAGGGAATGGCATGTATTACTCTGAGAAAACAGATTGCTTCACAGAAAACACAACCTCATGAAGACGGCTATAGGGTGGAGCAGTTTAACTGTCTCTGCTTCTTGGCATGATTGATTGGGAACTTACGTGTAGAAGAACAGGATGTAAGTTACATTGAATAAATAACAACAACAACAGGAGGAGGAGGAAGCTAGGAAGGGATATCATTTCTCCACTTCCCTGTGTCATAGTTTTAGGTGACCCCTCTACCTAGACATTGTGCTGTCAGTCAGCCAGTAAGAACCTGATCATTACTATGCTTCAATTGCTTCATAACTGCTGACTTGCCTCAGAGCAGAATCTGGAGCAAACCATTCAAGGGATTTAATATGTAAATATTTTTAATCTAATTAATCAAACTTCTTTGAAGAGTAACTTAGAATGATGCCATCTGAGAATGCCATCAAGGTATATCATGTACAATAACTTGCACAATGCTGGCCTTTTAAACAATCGCTACAGCCAAGTGTGCCATTTCTGCATGACATGCTGTCTCTTAGCCCATTGGCTGAAAGGATGATTCACTTGGGTAGCAGATTTAAATGGCAGATACCTGCTAATACTGCCTTGGCCTGAAAGTTTCCAAAGATGTGACTGATGTGACCCAGAGAATCCTGGGATAATTTTGGAATGAGTGGAAAGAATCCTAGTGGAGTGTTGGTGGTGGATGATTCTCCTGCAATGGGATAGCAGATTCTGAAGACTTAATCGGTGCAGCCTTTGTATAAATAATGTCACCCACAAATGAGGACCAGATTAGGATAATGACTGACCTATTTCTATTTCCAGTTAACTGTTGCCAAAACAAACTGACTATAAGGACAAGGGCTTGATGTTTTCTACAATCTTAACTAACTAATCCATTGTCTCCATAGGAAATGTTGGCCCTGGGCTGCAGTAACTTTTTCGGATCCTTTTTTAAAATCCATGTGATCTGCTGTGCGCTTTCAGTCACCTTAGCTGTGGATGGAGCTGGTGGAAAATCTCAGGTTGTTTATCATTTGCTTGCCATTTTATCTTCATAATGGGAAGATTTATTTGTGGAAAGTGTTCCAGATATTTTCACAGACTGCATGATGATTCTGGGAATACAGAATTAAAGTTCTCAGCATCCTCTCTAAACCCCTATTTCTAAAGTCACATTCAGGGGTGAAATGCTGCCAGTTTGGACCGTAGCGAGTTCAATCCTGAACAGTTCAAGGCTGACTCAGCCTTCCATCCTTTCAAGGTCATGAAATGACCCAGATTGTTGGGGGCAATATGTTGACATTGTAAATCACTCAGAGAATGCTGTAAAGTACTATGGAGCAGTATATAAGTCTAAGTGCTATTGTTATTGCTAATATCACTACATATTTTCAATTTGGGGGAACTGCTTTTTCATTCAATTTAAATGGGATGTTTCTTTAATGCAGAAGAAATATTCAGTGCAGCAGCAGTAGCTATTATTACAATGATTTCACAGGACAAGTTAAAATGTGCATTGTTATAAATTAGAACAGGAAACTATCTTTATTTCATAACACTTCCTTTCATCAGTTATTTTGATTTTTATTCCTAAACTGGAATGTACTATGACATAGTCTCAAATAGTCTTTTGTAATAAGCTACTTTTCCCTTCTCAGGTGGCAAGTTTTTGTGTAGCATTGGTGGTAATGATGACCATGTTGTCTTTGGGAAGCTACCTTAGCCCTCTTCCAAAGGTAAATATTCAAATCACTATATCTGTTTTTTAGAGGGTGTTTATCAAAATTATTGCCTCATTTATTTTTAACATTTTCATCACAGATTTAAACAGGGGAACTGCATTTTTGTGAACACATTGTTTGATTGCCAAATTATAAATTTTACAGGAAAAGTCAGGAAAGTTGAATTGATATACAAACAATGTAAACAAATAACCGAATAGGAAATGCAACAAGACACCTTGACCAAACTTCTAGTAACAAACTATGAGTAAAACAAACTATGTGATGCGGTAATAATTTGTCCATAAATCATCTGACTCCTTAGAAGCTCCAATTTTGCCTCTGGATGGAATTACAACTCCCCCCCCCAAAGAAAAACCAGATCCATGATCAGGATCTGGATTTTCTCTTGGATTCATGGCTCCTCTTCAAATAGAAGATGGGAGATGCTACCAGGAGAATATTCACCTGGTTTTAGTTGAGGCACCAGAAGTGGCTGTTCTTAGAATTACATGTTCTGGCTAGTGTGACTAATGCCCTTAATATCTCATGGTTGGACAACTGTAGGGTAGCTTACTTGGGGCTGCCTTTGAAGTCACTTCAAAGAATGGTAGAAAATGTGGTGGCCCATGTGCTGACAGTTAAAAGATGATTCAACAGACACCTTTCCTTCAGTCAATGCACTGGTTACTAATAGGTTTCCCGTAGAATTCAAGTTATTATGTATTAAGGCAGGGGTGAAATCCAAAATTTTTCCCTACCGGTTCTGTGGGCGTGGCTTGGTGTGTGGCAGGGGAAGGATATTGCAAAATCTCCATTCCCACCCCACTCCAGGAGAAGGATACTGCAAAATCCCCATTCCCTCCCCACTCCTGGGGGAAGGATATTGCAAAAACTCCATTCCCAACCCATTCTGGGGCCAGACAGAGGTGGTATTTGCCAGTTCTCCGAACTACTCAAAATTTCCGCTACCAGTTCTCCAGAACCTGTTATAACCTGCTGGATTTCACTTCTGTATTAAGACCTTTATGGCTTGGGTCCTTTGGGAATTGTCTGCTTCAAACAGAATCTGCCCATTCCTACACATTTGAACTTTAATGCATGCTACTGCGTATTCTACTTCTAGAAAAGGACATTGGCATCCTCCTGCTTGGTTTTATGGTTGCTTTACACTGAAAGCTACTCAATCTCATGTTTGGGTGGCACAGAAATATTGTAAAACAAATATAAATAAAGAAGTAAATATGATTTTCAGACATTGTAAACTGGAATTAAGATCAAGGGGATCAATAGCTTGTAACTTTCCTTGCAGTCAAAGGCAAATTATTTGGGAAAACATCATAAGTTCTTTGACTCTTAAACAAGTTGCCTTTTAGATTTTAGGTAGAATATAATTATGTTTGAAGTAGGACTGAGCAAGAGGATTTCTGGAGCCACTCTAGTTTAAAGTAGGAAACCTAAAAAAAAAAAAAAAGAAAGAAAGAAATCAGTGAGGAAAGTCGTAAACTAGATTCAGTAGAAATACTACAAACATTCTCCCCTCACTCATGTACTATTTGCACCATAATTCCACCCTCTTTTCTACAGTAGTTTCTTATAGGTTTTGAAAGCTGAAATATCAATTAGAAAAAAGTTAACTTATAATTTAATACATACACCCCAAATATTTTGGGTTACTGTTTTTTATCATCCCAAACCAATAAAACTAGTGGTCAGGGGTTGAAAATATCAGAAATCTTTGTAAGTGGGTTTGCATATAATCATAGAAAAGCAACTAAGTAATTTATTTCAAGAAAGAATTTGCTTAATGGAAAGAGGAACAGAAAATAACAAACTAACGAACTAGAGAAGAAGCTTTTTTAAAAAAATCTATATGCCTCTCATATGAGAACAGCAATTTTACATACACTTCTTGCCTTTAATTTATTGAGCCTTAATTTCGAGAATATTTGCGAATGATTGTGCAGCTACTTTTCTTTCTTCTGTGATCTTTATCCAGAAATACTGTTCTAAAGGGACGCGGTGGCTCAGTACCTAAGACGCTGAGCTTGTTGATCAGAAGGTTGGTAGTTTGAATCCCTAGCACCGTGTAACTGAGTGAGTTCCCATTATTTGTCCCAGCTTCTGCCAACCTAGCAGTTCGAAAGCACATAAAAAATGCAAGTAGGAAAATAGGCACCACTTTGGTGGGAAGGTAACAGCACTCTGTGCACCTTTGCTGTTTAGTCATGCTGGCCACATGACCACGGAGATGTCTTTGGACAGCGCTGGCTCTTTGGCTTAGAAACAGAGATGAGCACCGCCCCCTAAAGTCGGGAACGACTAGCGGGGGAACCTTTACCTTTTTACTGTTCTATATGATAACATGGACTTTGATAATAATAACACAGTACTTTGATCAAGTACTCTGAAAGGAGACACATTCCATATATTTCTTCCCAGGTTTGGGAAGAAGTCCCAACACAAGATAGAATAATATCTAAAGTCATGGAATGTGCTGAGATGGACAGACTCACCAAGGAAATTCAAGGAAAGGAAGAATCTGACTACTACCTGGTTTGGCAAAGGTGGTATCAATGGTTAGAGGGAAAAACCAAAACCAAAAAAGGATCCTAAAAGAGTAAAACAAAATTCTGTACCAAATAAGATATAACAACGCATAATTAAATATTAAAAAATAATATCGTTATATAAGGCGAGAGGAAGGAATACATATCGAGGAATTTAGGTTATTGATGTCGGAGGAAATCAGACATTATGTTTAGATGTTATTTATGTTATTAATGTCGTATTTGTCGCATTTGTATGTGTATGTGTATGTGTATTTTGTGTGTTTATATATGTAATAAAAAAATTTTTTTTTAAAAGAGCTGCCAGGTTTGGGTGTAAAATATTTGGCTATCCACTGGACAACAGAAATGTTTTCTGCCATCTGGTAGTCACCAGATTGTTGCAGCCCATACCTGAAAGATCTACCGTAACTAAGCCACATTCCATTTCACATTATTTGGCAAATATACTTCGTTTAGGTTGCTTCTATAAACTTAGACAATGCACTGGGGTGCCTACATATTCATGCATATTTTGACATTCATTTTATCATGTAATCTCCATCACAGGCTGTTCTAGGAGCTTTGATAGCTGTAAATTTGAAGAATTCTCTCAAGCAACTGACTGATCCATATTACCTCTGGAAAAAAAGCAAGTTGGATTGCGTGAGTATCAGAATATTTAGAGAAAGCAGAATATACCAGGGGTGAAATGTAAAATTTGTTACTACCGGTTCTGTGGGCATGGCTTGGGGGGGGGGGGTAATGTGATTGGGTGGGCTTGGCCAATTTTTTTTTTAAACTTTTCAAAGCATTTTTTCTAATGCTTTGAAAAACCTCTGCCGATCAGGCAACTCAGCTGGGATCGTCAGAGAGGCTTTTTAAAAAATGCTTTGAAAAGCCTCTCTGAGGATCAGGCAACTCAGCTGGGATCATCAGAGACTTTTCAAAGCATTTTTTTTACCACCTCTTCGGCCAAGAGGTTGCAGGAAAAAATGCTTTGAAAAGCCTCTGACGATCCCAGCTGAGGCCCGCGATCATCAGAGGCTTTTTTTTTTTAACTTTTAAAAGCATTTTTTTCGTCGGAAGAGATTGTAGAAAAAATGCTTTTAAAAGTTTTTTTTAAAAAGCCTCTGATGATCGTGCAGCTCAGCTGGGCATGGGGGGGGGCTACCGGTTTTTGCTACCGGTTCTCCAAACCACCCGCTGCCATTGCTACCAGATCGGGCGATCCAGTCCGAACTGGGAGCATTTCACCCCTGGAATATACCTTTTAGTGTCAGTTAAGTCACTATTTTATAAAACATTAGCAAAAACCTAGAAAAATATTTTATTTATGCTGAAAAAGGTGTTTATTTTTTGCATTTCTGTACAGAAAAATTTCCTCTTGAAATTTTATCATAAAAATATTCACAAGCTTTGTAAAACAGTCTAGTCCAGAGATGTTTTTCAACCACATCTTTCATTTTAAAATACACAGTATGTCACAAAATGCATGTTGTATAAGTTGCATTTCATATTTAGCCAGATACCAGATTGTTTTTACTATTAAAAGGGTTTTTTATGACTTTATAACTAGTTATGCATGGATGTTAATAAGATTATTTGAGTTGATATTACAAAAAGTAAGTTGAACTAAGCTGTAGTCTATGTAATACCCAGACCTGAATTACTATTGCATATGTTGAATTTAAACATCACCATAGCTTAAACAGGATTAATTAAACATGGGGAGTTTTAGCTGAGAACATGGATAGCAGATGCTAGTCAGAATAGAAAATATGGGACTAGAAACAAATTACCTGAATTTCCACAAGGTAACTGATTTATAGAACAGTGTTTCTCAAACATTTTCAGCCCTAGGACCCCTCTACATTCTTATAAATGATTGAGGACTCCAAAGAGCTTTGGCTTCTTGGGGCTATAGCGATCAATATTGACTATATTAGAAATTAAAACTGAGACATTTTAAAATGTTTATTTATTTGATGTCACATACCCCATAAAAAGGTCTCAGGGATTTCCAGGGGTGCCTAGCAACTTTGAGAGTTGCTATACTAGAATATAGATGACCTTCCACTGACCAAAGGAAAAGAAAATGATAAGAGTACTAGGCACTGATTGAAATAAATTCTATTGGCAAAAGTATAAAATGTTCCAAACTTTTTATCACGGAAAAAGCAAATCTCTTAAATGTTTGCTGTTGGATATTTTGTTTGAACAAATTGCATAACAGTAGATTACATCTGCATACATTTTGCCCACATTTGCTAAAAGTTTATTCAGAAATTGCTTCATCAGTAAAAAGAGACGATCCTTCCTTTGTATTTCATTAACTTCTGCTCTGTCAGTTAGCATTGCAGAGAATGGTTCACATCAGCTTGCAAACACAGAGGCACTGACTCTGTAACTCTTGGAATTCTGCTCCAACTAAATTCTCTTTTAACTAAAGCAAAGGTAGGCAAGCAGGCTAGCCAAAGGTTCCTGCAACCTTCCCTGGCCCATTTTTGCAGTCCACAAAGCACCACCAAATCTTGTCTTTGATCAGCACACATTTCTGTGGTATTAGCAAACAAATGTGTAAAATAAATGTGATTAATATCTGCATGGCCTGTTTTATACCTTAACCACCCAATTCTCCCCCAAAGTTACAAGTTTCCCCCTGCCTGAATAATACTTCCATAGTCTTTGTAGTCAGAGCAAATTTAAAAATAGAAGAGAGGGGGTCCAATGGAAAAAGTTACTTATCTTTGATTTAAAGCACTAATACTTAACTTTTGCTGGAAAGATTCCAAGAGCAACTCATAAGTCAATAAAAAAATTATCGTAACAGTAACTGAAGAACGACTGTTTTAGTAAAAACTAAAGAGTTTAACCCGCTATTGTTGTTATTTAAAGAATTAGGAAGAAAAGAGGGTAAAAAGGGAAAAGGGAAATTCAGGCACAAATGTCTTCTGTTTCACATTACTCTTGGGAATAGAGATTCTTACAATGATTATGCTTGGTTAGCATAATGGAGAAGATTATATCAGTGCTTTCTGATGTTGCCTGGGCATTTTTCAGGAAAGGGAAATATTTATTCTACAATGATATAGAGAGAGATGATAGTGTTCATTGCTACAGAGCAAATATATGAAAAGAATAGTTGTTGCATGTGGTCTTAGAATTTGACTTGGTGTTTATGAAATTGCCCTGCACTTGAACTATTTTCATACAGGGCAAGGCAATGGTGGGATTCAAATAATTTAACAACTGGTTCTCTGCCCTAATGATTTCTTCCAACAACCAGTTCCCCAAACTGCTCAGAAAGTTAACAACAGGTTCTCCCAAAGTGGTGCAAACTGGTTGAATCCCGCCACTGGGGCAAGGTTACAATCTTGATATTTACAAAAAACAGAATAGTGACTTCAGCATTTGTAGGAGTTTCCAGATGCATATTAATGAAGCCTCTAGAGTATCTGATCTTGAGTTATCTAAAGGCAATAATGTAACTCCAAGTTCTAGTCTCCATAAACCAAAGCTATGCAGGTGTATTTCAAATACGTGCTCTGCTTTATCCACTTCGGCAAGCTTGGGCTCAGTGCAAAGGAAGTAACCTGCTGTGTTTCTCTCTTTCCACAGATGGTTTGGGTGGTGAGCTTCCTATCAGCATTCTTCCTAGGCTTGCCTATTGGACTCGCTGTGGGAGTGGGTTTTTCCATCCTAGTGGTAGTTTTCCACACCCAGTTGTGAGTATTAATGCATCAGTAGAGACATTTTCCATAATTTATGTCAAAATGTCAATGAAAATCAGAATGGCATTATGTGGAACATGAAGGAACTACCCACTGTTAATAAACTGCTAATCTATCTTTCCTGTGAAGATATTCCAAGGATGGAATTGGAAAGTACTTCTGCCATGTATACACAAGGGAATTTCCTTTTATTGCTTATCAAGGGCTCAATGTAAGAAGTAACGGGTTTTTGATCTAAGCTAATCTTTCCACATCATGACTTCACTTGTGAAAGCCAGTCTTGGGTGCTATACTAGCTTCTCTGTTAACCTCAGCTAAAAGATGATTTGTCTATGGAACATCTAGATGTGCTTATGCACTGTATTATTGCTATTGTGGTAAATAAACATTCAGGAAGCATTCAAAGTGTTTTAGGTGCTGGATAGATTATGGAAAGATGGAATAATTCTTATCCATGCTCTAATGGACATGATAGAAAAGGAGAAAAAGAGCAGGAAAGATGAGGAAAGCAAATATTGGATGGATCTTTACTTGACCATTGGTCTTCCTTCCCAGGGAAGTAATTTTTAGAAAGCAAAAGATGTTGGTTTCTATCAGCACAGGAATCCTATAGCCGTGATGGCGAACCTATGGCACGAATGCCAGAGGTGCATGCAGCGCCCTCTCTGATGGCACACGAGCCGTCGCCCCAATTCAGCTCCGCTGTGCATGGGCGCGGACCTCCTGCCGGGGAGCTGGTCTTCAGGTCTCTGCGCAGGGGCAGGGTGAGGGGGCACGCACACATGCGAGGGAGGGCAGGGAGCATGTGCAGGGCTGCATCCGCAATTCATTTTGGGGGTTCAGGGGCCCACACGCATGCGCGCTTTGGGCACTCGGTCCGGAAAAAGTTATCCATCACTGTCCTACAGTATAGTTTATGGCACAGGACAAGACATATTTTTTTCTCATATCTACAGTCCAAAGCATGAGAAGATAGAAGAATTATAAACTACTTCCATTCATGAAATTAAGACGGCAAAATTCACTATGTGAGAATTTCACCACCTAGTAGTTGGTAGAGATTCTCAGTCATCCAGATCATGGCTGTCCCAAAGATGCTTTTTCAGGAAGCAACTGGACTTTCTTGTTTTTTCTTTTCTTTTTCATCTTTGGGCAACCATGACCTGAATGATTGAGAATTTCTACAGACTTTTAGCTATACAATTTGGGATGAACACCCTTTGAATGGTGTGGGAGTAGGAATGGATTTTCAGAGAAAAAAATGCAGACTACAGGAACCAGGAGCACTACTCAGGTGACCCTGAGGACACGGATAAACCTCCAAGTGCTTCAACAACCCTCTAAAAGGATGCAAAATACTAGCTGTATCTGCAAGGAATATAAATCCTTCCATTCCCCACTATCCTATCAGAGCTGAAGAAGCTTCTTCAAAAAGAAAAAACAAGAAAGTCCAGTTGCCTCCTAAAAAAACATCTTTGGGACACCACCTATAGATAAACAACACCTATAGATAGAGAGAAACTTTTCTACAGTAGGAATTTACAACAGTGAACAGTGTACATGCGATACTGGCAGTGCTGATCCTGGCTTCCTTGTCTGAATTAGGCATGATGTCTGGGGAAGTCTGGGAGTTGAAATCCACACATCTTGAAATTGCTAGGTTTGAAAAACATTGATTTAGGAAGATAATTTTTTATCATTCGTCTGCCCTCACCTGGTGATATTTGGTATTTACTTGTGATTAAGTACTGTGATTATTTACTTGTGAAGTGTATCTTTGTGATTCCCACTGCATGCAGGAGTATTGTAATAAATGTCCAGCTCCACATATAATAAATAATCCACTTCCATGAAATTTCATCCCTTTCTATCTCCACAATAACTATTTCATTTTCAATTCTTAATTTCAGTGTATTTTCGTATTCTGAAATATATCTATAAAACTTTATCATGCGTTCACATAGGAGAAACAAACTAGATTTTTTTAAATGTATGCTTCAGACAACATGTTGATTCACACTTATTTTCCATTTCTTCCAGAGGAATTCACAGGGTATTGGGAGAACTAATCAAGATGGTGGCCACAATAGTGTGACTGAAGTTCAACCTGCTTTTCATTTGCATTGCAAACACATATAAAATAAATGGAGCTTCAGTCACATTGTGGCTGTAATCTTCACCTTTTTTTTTAATCAAACTCTCTAAAAACCATTGAGGTTTTCTTTTCTCTGAAAATCCAGTTCTACTATTCCCAATCTAGTAGTCTTTGGATGTGCTGGTTGGTAACATCCAAAATTCTAGGCCACTCAGTTCATTACCAGCAGGGAGAAGGACTGAACTGCAGATACAACCACACTTGCATATTGTAAAACCACTGTGCCTAATTTGTTTAGAGAATTTCCAATAAATGCAGCAGATGCATTTTGAAGAGATGTCTTCCACTGGCCAAATTCCCTGTGGTTGCTCTGGAAGTCACCCCTCATCACTTTGTCAGAGCTACCTAAAACTCTCCTGCTGCTCCACAAGATCTGGAAATGAGATTATTTTGTTCCATGCATCACTGCATCAGATGAAAGTTCTCACCTGTTTATCTCTCTAGTTCTTTGCGTTGTGACTGCTTCCCCATCCTGACTGATTCTTGCTCCATCTCATTCCTCCACTCCTACAGAGTGCAAATATTGTCTTCCACTCTGAAGGATTAAGCTTTCCCATCACTCCTGCCATCTTCCTGATACCTGGTAACAATCTCTGACAAAGAGAAAGGAAGAATAGTTGAATATGAGTAGTAGTACATTGCTTCTAGACACACCCTTCATCTCTTTCACTAAGGAAACCTCTCCCAGCATCAAAATTAATCACTCAGGGTGGGGCGGAGGGGGGGGAAGGAATTCAAAATAGTTCCAGTTAATTTGTGTAGATTTTCTCTAGTATTTTTTGTATGAGAGCTAATTCCTTGCAAATGTTTATTTATGTGCTTGCTTGCTTGCTTTTATGCCACCAAAGACACAGTCCTTTCTAAACTTTCTTTTCTTCTTCACTCTACAGAAGATAACATTGGATTCAAACTCCTGGCCAATGATAGTTTGATAATTAGCAGGTTAAAAAATCACCCTTTAGCATTTACTGCTGTGTGCATATTTCTTGTAAACTGCATCTGTTAGCTACCTGTAATTTAACATTCATGTTCCATTATTTTCTTTCCCAGTCGCAATGGTTCTGTCCTTGGCCCTGTAGCTTCTACTGATATATACAAGAACCCCAAAGTCTACAGCAAGGTAATGGAAGCAACAAAAGAGCCTCATACCATATTGATGTGATTTGATTTTGCTGAGCGATTATGGTTTCTACATAATGCTAAACTATAAAACATTTTTGTTTGTTTGGATATGATGTGCAGCCTATCCCAATGAAGCTATAGTTTAGAAACTGAGAGGCAAAATGCTCAAGCAATACTATGGCTTCATGATCTGTGAATCAGCATTATTGCTACTGGCTCTTATTTCAAAAATATTGAAAAAGTCACTCTTTTATCTTTAGATTTCTTCTGTTCCTCATGTGAATAGTTTGGGATTATTAAAAAAATCAAGGAGCTCTCCATATAACCACACTATTTGGAGGACCCATAATTCTGACATTTATGATCTGATATTAGGCTTCATGAAACCATATCACATTTGGCGGCAAATGGCTTAAATGCAATGAGATAATTTAATACCACAGGTCCAGTCCAACCTCTTTTTCTTTGGTCAAAAGCACTGTTGACTACCAACACCCAAACTTTTGGTGCCATTATGGGAAAATAGGAGGTTTTGGAAATAGTTTTAAAAGTTATAATGGAAATGGTTTTCCTCTGGGCTGCTTTAATTCTTAATTCACCCATTCACTCAAAAATTGTTTAAAACAATAAAAAAAGAATTGGATGTACTATAGCGACATTGTGGCATTGGTGGACAGCTTCCAGCAGCTGCCAGAGGAATGGAGCCTATGTTGTGGCTGCTTCTTGGGCCATCCACCATTGCCTTCCATCATAAATGAATCATTTCTCCCTAATAATCCTACATACATAGCACAAGAGGTGGGTTTCAGCAGGTTCTGACCAGTTCTGGAGAACCGGTAGCAAAAATTTTGAGTAGTTCAGAGAACTGGTAGTAAAACTTCTGACTGGCCCCGCCCCCATCTATTCTCTGCCTCCCAAGTCCCAGCTGATTGGGAGGAAATGGGCATTTTGTAGTAACCTTCCCCTGGAGTGGGGTATGAATGGAGATTTTACAGTATCCTTCCCCTGCTATGCCCACCAAGCCACACCCACCAAGCCATGCCGCATCCACCAAGCCACACCCACAGAACCAGTAGTAAAAAAATTTGAAACCCACCACTGCATAGCACATATTGCTGAAGTGTGTTCTCAGTTATAGCAGATGTTATGCGAACCAAAAACAGAGAAAATAAGCAATCCTTTCAAATAGAGGTCTTCATTTGAAGCCGAGATATGGGATGATTCAATGGCATAGGATGAGATTTTATTTTATTTATCCCTTTGGCAAAGGGAAGAAAGCGAGCAGAACTAGAAAATCCTTCTGCTCTTTTGATCACTCCTTATTTTTATTGCCATTGAACCAGAAAGGGGAAAGATAACCATATTTAAAATTATAATTAAATTGAATTCTGTAATACAATTGATATTATTTTTCCTGCCTTAAACAACTTCCCTTTTTCATCACATTAAAAAATAGAGCGCAGCAACTATTCTGGAGAAACCTAAGTTTTATTCTATGTCACAAATTTTAAAAGATTTAATCTGAAAAAGACTTTGTAGTACTCCTGAAATTGCAGCATTATGATCTAGAGGTTATATATCTGTATTATATACAGCATTAAACATATATCCCTTATTTTGTTGCACTAATTAACCCATGATTGAAAAACAATAACTATTTTTATTGTTGATATTATTATTTTGAAAAGACAAAGTATAATTTAACTTCTCCCTATTTTTTTTCTTCTTTCTCATTTTGCTGGTCCCAGGAAATATTCTCTTACTGAAATTTGTCACTCTTGTTTTGTAGGTTCAAGAAATAGAAGGGATTAAAATTGTCACCTACTGCTCCCCATTATATTTTGCTAATTCAGAAATATTCAGGGAGAAAGTTATCGCAAAGGTAAGAAATTTTGATGCAAATATAAACATATCCAAACTGGAAACAAAAGGCTGGATCATTTCTGTATATGCACATACATGCACATGTGTGTGCATGTGCACTCACACATATAGTTCTATAAATCTCTTTTGGTCTTGTGGGATGAGAGGGCTCCTTGCAAAATTATCTTCCAGGGAGACAATCGATAGTTCTTCTGATATCTTTTTAATAACATTGCTTAATGCATTGTAAGCTGCCCTGAGTCTCCGGAGAAGGGCAGCATATAAATTAAAGCCAAAAAAAAAAAGGTGAATATATTGTTATTTCTCTTAAGTTTTTTTAAGTACAATGTGCTTGTTTATACAGTGCTTCAAGTTTTGGTTTAAATATTTTATTAATGTTTTATTTTAGGGGAAGGGGTACTTTTATTCATAGTCCACCCTAAAAATATTTTTACTGAAGGTTGGCATTAAACTTCTTAAATATAATGTCTGCTTGCTGAAGCTTATTGCAAAGGAAAAGTAGCTCATGGACAAACATTTATACTGCAAAATTATGTCTTGACTTTCCTCAGTGTTTCCCAGAGAGATGTTGGTATGGTTTGTTATCTAATAATAAATTCAATTTTATTTCATATGATATTTTTATAGTTTCAATATATGGTTTTAAAAACCAACCAGGGATCTGTTAATATAATTTCAATTATTGCATGCTAACAAAAAATCCAATTAATTAAGTAGAGGTCCTTTGCTTTATTTTTTATGTCTTAGCATAAAAAAATAGTACTTCTTTATTTATATGTCACGTTGACATTCAAATATCCCAAAAGTCCACGTAGGAAGATAATGCAGCTAAATACTTTTTTCCCCTAAACAGACTGGTGTGGATCCCATCAAAGTCTACTTGGCCAGAAAAAAGTTTGTGAAAAATCAAGAAAAGATGACAGCAGCAGTACAGAAAACGAGCAAATTCAAATCTATCTTCAGAAAAGACAAGGTAACCAAGCAATTATCTAGGTCCGTGATGGTGAACCTATGGCGCACATGCCAGAGATGGCATGCAGCACCCTCTCTGATGGCACGTGAGTCGTTGCCTCAGTTCAGCTCCATTGCACATGTGCACATGCTTCCCGCCAGCCAGCTGGTCTTCGGGGGTCTGCCGCGCATGCGTGGGGGCAGAGTGCATGCAGGGGAGATGTACATACATGTGCGGGGGCTGCGTGCACATGCACAGGGCAGGGGCATGGGGAGCACGCATGCATGTATGTGGGGCAGATGCAGAGGGGCCACATGCTTCCCTGGGGGCAGGACATGTGCAGGGGACCACCCGGGGCTGTGTGCGCATTGCATTTTGGGGTTTTGGGCACGCCATGCGCATTTGCACACACACGCTTTGGGCACTTGGTCTGGAAAAGGTTAGCCATCTCTGATCTAGGTTACAACTGAGGTTTCCTACAGCTAGGCAAAAATGGCATTTTCTTTCATCCTAGAAAGAAAAAAAAAACAATTTTCACATATATTTATCACACATTAAATATTCTGAGTACCTGGCTCAGATTTGTAAAATAACTACTTTTCTTTGTTACAGACTGTGTCTCTGCAAGAACTCCATAAGGATTTTGAAAGCACCTCTCCAACAGATACCAATAACAACCAGACAGCTTCCAATGGCAACAGCATCTCCTATATTGTCTTCAACCCAGCTGTGAACTCTTTAAGCCCAAATAATACCTCATGTGAACAGAGAAACACAGCTGATCATAGGAACAGCAACTGCAGCATTATTCCAGCCTCCGGAATTGATCCTATGAACATAGCACCCCCTTTTGTTAACTTCCACACCATTATTCTTGACATGAGTGGAGTTTGTTTTGTGGATCTGATGGGTACAAAAGCTTTGGGAAAGGTATGTTGTTCTTTCGGAACCTGTCTTGTTCACTGAAGCTAGTCTTTAAAATGTCCTGTTTAAATAGGGTTAATCAGGACTCAATTTGATACAAGTAGCATTGTACTTCTGGCTGCAAATTGGAAAGGTGGACAACTCAGTATAGTCAGAATGAGAGGTTGTCTCTAGAGAACACATATAAGAAGCCTGGAGATTATTTGTGAAACCAAAGTAACAATTAACACTCTGTTAATCAGACAAACAAACAAAAAATACTGTGCCTTCAGTAGATAAAATATGAGTTTTTACATTGTTATTTTAACTTTCTGACTTAAGTACTATATAGCAAGCCACAGAATAAGGAGATGCAGTTTGTGGCTTCAATTCTATATACCAAATACAATGTTATTTTCATTTTCAAAGATATACCTTATAAATAAAAGTGAGTCTTATGATTTCCATTTCCGTTCTAATTATTTGGTTTTAGACTATATATTGCATCATTAGTAACTGGGCACTTTGGAAAATTCAGTGCTGTGTTGCCTTTGGCTTTTTTAGGAAAAAAATGAGCTTAATATATGATGTCTAATACCTGCACATTAAATGAATTCTTGTAAATGTTAAGGCCACAACGATGCAAAATCAATCCATAAGCACTCTCTCATTTTGTCTTCTTGTGTAGCTATGTACCAACTACCAAAGGATTGGGATTAAGGTCTTTCTTGCAAACATACCTGGTAAGAATTTTATTCTTTATAACTTATTTATTTAGAATGTTATACTGTTTGAGCTGAAAAATGTCCAGGGTCGTTTATAGATTGATAAAGAATCCACGTTTTCTGAGTTTAATATAGAAAGACAAATAAAACAATTGAAAGAGATGGGGAATAAGGGAAATATAGATACTTAATACTTTAAGAACTGTAATGACATAGCTGATAGAACAAGATGCTTGGTAATTGTTGGTAAAGAGACAAACCCGTATACCTAACTTCATTTGATTTCCATTTAACAAGAGGCAGAATCATTTCTGGTGGCAAATATCAAAAGTTGAATGTTCACTTACTATATCATGTCATATGTAGGTTTACACATGCAATGTAGGTATAGCCCAGGGACTGGAAAAATCACAGTTCAAGCAATAGTTTCATTTTGCTATTTTTTGGGTTTTTTAGAATTTAAAAACAAATACAAAGCTGATAAAATTACAATGACTCAAAGGCTTCTTTTTCAAGATAAAAATACTTTAAATACACTTTAAATTTATGATCTAAGACAAGGAAAAGGTTTACAGTAATACTTGCTCCTGAAAAGAGCAGAAATGAAATCACACTACTTGAGATAGCCTTCTAGCAGTATGCATGCACAAACATATGAGTTGTATGCAGGGGTGAAATCTAGCAGGTTCTGACAGTTCCTGAGAACCGGTAGCGGAAATTTTGAGTAGTTCGGAGAACCAGCAAATACCACCTCTAGCTGGCCCCAGAGTGGGGTGGGAATGGAGGTTTTGGCAATATCCTTCCCCTAGGAGTGGGGTGAGAATGGAGATTTTGCAGTATCCTTCCCCCGCCACGCCCACCAAGCCACGGCAACCAAGCCACACCATGCCCACCAAGCCACACCCACAGAACCGGCGGTAAAAAAAAAATGGATTTCACCACTGGTTGTATGGGTTCATTTTAAAATGCAAGATAGCTTCAAAGTTTAAACTCAGCCATTGGTGAATGATCAGTCCATAAGGCAGTTTACATAGCACAAGGCTTCCAAAAGTAACATATATGGAGATGAACAATTTAAAATGATTATCTTTGAAAGAAGATAACAAGTCTAACCAGTCCTAAGTGGTACAGGTTTCTCCTGTTCCCTGAAAAATGTTCTGCCTTGTAAAATCAACTCTGTTTGAGTATATTGCTGAATAAGCTCATTATCCAGGTAGCGGCAGTGCAGTTCTTTCAGTCTTCCTGTTCAATCTATTTGAGCTTCAGATGGGCACAACAATAGAGTTTACTTAATTGACTTAAAAGGTTTTGGAAATGCCTCTCCAACAGCAGTTATAGTGAAAAAGAAATGATCTGCAATCAGTAATTTTAAGTTTGCCTTTTTCATCAGCTCAAGTGTATGATGATATTCGTATTGGTGGAGTCTTTGAAGAAGGAGGTCTTGAGCCTTGCCACCTCTTTGTGACCATCCATGATGCTGTTTTGTTTGCAACAATGAACAGCAGCAGAGCTACTTGTCATTCTGTCCTAGAACAGGTATACATAATTCACTTATTTAGTTATATTTAATACCTTATTTTATAGCCTGATCTTAATTTTTAAAAAAATATATGGATACATAACAATTCAAACAATGGTAATGATATAATGTATGCTCCTCCACTTTTTCTCATGATCACCAAAACTGTAGCTGGTAATTCAGTTGCCATGGCCAAGCAGTCAAAATTCTAAAAGGAGAAAAAGAGAAGTGTAGACATTGGGGGGAAATAGATTTTGCTAAATGTATGTCTTACAAGGCTGAAACATTATCAGTGGCTCCTGAAAAAAAACGTAAAAAATTTATATTATGCTGTAACTCAGGTTAATCATCTTACATATTTGTGTATTGATTCATGAACTTATTGAAATGTATGTTACATGAAATGAATCCTCTAGAATCCTATGCTGATATTTGACTAAAAAAATAGACTCTGAACCTTTATTATCATATGTTAATCTTGTAAACAATAACAAACCATTTCTTCCTACTCAGAGGTCAAATCAGATTGAAGTCTCTGTCTCAGATGAATCTCTGGAAGATAGCAGTGCTGAATTCCAAAATTTGGAAGAGGTCAGTTAAAAGAACAAAATGATTTTAAATGAAGAGTCTGACTCATTCCTCTGCCAGATGTATTGTCTATTATCTCTCATGCTCTAGCCACCTCATGCTACTGAAGACATTCAAAAACTTCAGTTAGTACTGTTATCTTGTTGCAGGAATTGCATTATTTATAGGTATCAATTTGCTTCCAATTGCAATTGAAGGTGGTTGATGATTACCTCTCTGGTTTGCATGGCTTGAGAAAGAGATGAGACCTCTGTTCTGATTCATCCCAGTGGTGCCCAGTGGAGCCCATCCCAGTAGTGCTCACTGTAAGAGAAATAGATGGAGTGGGACTTAAACACCTGCTATCTCTTTCTTCATCTGGAACAAATTGCCTCTCTAAACTCAAGATGGCCCTATTAATATTTAGGATAGCAGTTAAAACACTGGTCTTCCCACAGGCCTTCCAATAATCAATGTTACCATGCTGTGGTTGAATTCAGTGGTGGTTATATTGAAATGTTAGCTATTGTATTTCTTTGTTCAGGATTATATTGCTTTATAATGAATTGCTTCTGTATTGTACTATAGTGTAAGCTGCCTAAAATTTGTAAATTGAGGCAGCACACAGTTATGAGTAAACAGATAATAAAATCTAAGCATAACTAATAAAGAATTCATAATGGTTAAATTCAAACAGAATTAACATTTGTTTCTCTAAAATCAAAAGGAAAAATTAGTCACGATTAAACTAAATTCCATAATTTAATTATAACTAAAGTTTATCTGATCTAAACCATAGTCCAAACCCACATCTAATGTAATTTTGTGACACATTATTAATAATGTTGGCATCAGTTTATAATGCAAATCTCTATGTCTTTCTAGGAAATGTTTGGAAGCATTTTTCATTCAGAAACACAAACAGCGCTGTGAGCAACTCAGGAACATTCCTGTGATGGCAAATTATTTGTTCATGATATTTCCTTATGAAGGTTCCTGTGTCTGAATGGCAAGGAAAATGGCCTTTCTAGCAAGTGGCCATTGGTGCTTCTATAGCACTGAGGACAGAATGTCTCTTGGACCTGGTATTCTCTTCTATAATTCCTCTTGGATTATAAACCTCAGAGCACCTGACTCTTGAAACAGTTGGCATGGAAGGAAAACACTCAGGGAATATATTCCATCCATCTAGAAGAAGCAGAAGAATAGCTTGAATATCTTCTGGTTCATATTTTCCTCCTCTTACACCATTTATTTATGGAGCCATAAATATGCATGTAGCAGACATGCATATCTACTAATTCTCCAGCATTGTTCTTATGAGGGAAAACAAAGGAAAATATGGAAAATGTTTGATTGCCAGATAAAATGCTCACAAATTGCAGCGGTTTCAGTTCACAAGGAGGAACGATTGTTTCATTGCATAGACTCCACACCAAAGTTAAACACAACTATGATGATGCCTAGTTTTCCTCTAATTTTGTTCATTGCAACCTACTGCGATATTTCTTATTTTTGTGGCCTAAATGCAGCAACTCAAATGCACCAAATCAAGGGCTGTGTTTATTTTAGTACTGGACATCATCCAACATATATTACTGTATTGCCTAGAAGCAATACTGCCTTTTTCATTATAAACCACACCTATTTCTGATTTTTTTTCTCTCTTCTGAAGAATGTGTTTATGTTTAGAGAATGAAAATATTTTTCATAGGATCTGTGTACATAGAGCATTTCTACAGTTCTTTGAAATTTTTTCAAAATTAAACTTATTTGACATAGGTTTAATTAAACAAAACCAAAGAAGATACTTTAATTTATTCTAATACAGTAGTCCTCGACTTAAATCCATAATTGAGCCCAACATTTTTGCTGTTAAATGAGACATTTGTTAAGTGAGCTTTGCCCCATTTTATGACCTTTCTTGCCACAGTTGTTAAGTGAATCACTGCAGTTGTTAAGTTAGCAACACAGTTGTTAAGTGAATCTGGCTTCCCTATTGACTTTGTTTGTGAGAAGGTTGCAAAAGGTGATCACTTAATCCCAATACACTGCAATAGTCATAAATATGAATCGATTGCCAGGGTCTGAATTTTGATCACATGACCATGGGGATGCTGCAATGGTCATAAATGTGGAAAACAGTCATAAGTCACTTTTTCAGTGCTATTGTAACTTCGAACAGTCACTAAATGAACTGTTGTAAGTCGAGGATTACCTGTAACATTTTTACTATACTTGTGTTTAGAAATTTCAAGGTTATTCCACATTATTCTTGGTATTGTAGCCTTTTGTTCTTAATAACTAAACAAAACAAATTTACCTTAGTTTCATTTTGAAAAATAAAATTTCTGTAAGAAACAATTATTTTTCAGCCTGATTACCAGTCCTGTGTATTGTGTTCAGAAAAAGATATAGAAGTGTAAAGCTGTCCAACACATTTGAAGGAGGCATTTCCCAAAGCGCAAAACATTTGTAGAATGCTTTGTTCCTAGGGCATTCAGGAAGGGTTCAAAAAAAAGTCAAAATGATGGCCACAATGACACAATCAGAGCCCAGCCCTTTTACATAGATTGCATAAATGCATATTTAAAAGGGGCAGAGTTTCAATTGCATAGTCACTGCTGCCATCTTGATATTTTGACTCCCCACTAATGCCCCTGCTTTGCACAGACTTAGTAAATTGTATTGCCTAAGTATAACATTAAAATAATTTAGATTAAAACCTTCTTAGTGCTCAGGTTTTGCCTTGCATGCAGTTTGGATTAAAGGATTCTTAAATGAGTCATAGGACTCAATTCAAGAACAGCAGTTTATCATCTGATTCCTCTCAAGCAGTTTAAAACTAGTCAAACATTCTCAAGGTTTTTTTTTTAATTATGCCACAATGAAGAGAATCTACCTCTCAGGCAGATTTGCCTAACTAGTTAATCTAAGCAGATAGTTTTTAAAATTGTGTTTTGTAAATGCAAAATAATTTTATATAAAAATGTGAATGATGCAAATGACCATTGATGTCGGATAGTTTTTTGTTGCGATTCTTTCTTCCACCAGGATGATTCTGTAAAGTGTATGATATACAGGGCATACGATACACATCATATGAACAGCCCAAACCAAAGGACGTTTCTTAAAAAGTCTCTTAATATACCAAAGTTTAGTTCTACCGTATGAAAAGTTTATCTTCAAAATGCTAATGGAGAAAAGCACTCAGTGGTTCTGAAATCAATTAAAGTAAAATCTGAAATTAGAGTAAATAAAGACTGACTTCTTCAAAATGTTACATGCATTGAATTGTGAAAAGTTAACTAGATTTTGTCTAATACAGCTGAAAGTATGTTTTTAAAATTTCTGGTCTCAAAGTTCATGTTGAGTGTGTATAAATACTAAACTCTCATTCAGGCCAAACTGGATTTCTGGTGATTTCATGGACAAGTCCCTGCATCTTTATTTGGCAAGTAGGGCAACTGGTTTCCCAGTTTGACTGCAGCACCGGCCTTTCTTGTGTTTGTGGTATCCCAGCAAGCACTAATCAGGTCGGTCGCTAGAACTTAAGTCCAAACAAGGTTGATCAGCACTTGTTCCTGCTGCAATCGCCAGAGCAATATGAAAGAATAACTGGCAGGGTGTTTGCAAGTAAAGACAGCAAGATGCTGTCTTTAGCCCAATCCTTTGACAGAAAGACGGGGCATTCACAAGACATAGGAAACAGTTACAGGTAGTCCTTGACTTACAACCACAATTAAGCCCAGAATTTCTGTTGTTAAGTGAGACATTTGTTAAGTGAGCTTTGCTCCACTTTACGATCTTCATTGCCTCAGTTGTTAAGTGAATCACTGCAGGTGTTAAGGTAACACAGTTGTTAAGTGAATCTGGCTTCCCCGTTGACTTTGCTTGTCAGAAGATCACGAAAGGGGATCACATGACCTCAGGACACTGCAAAGGTCATAAATATGACTCAGTTGCCAAGCAGCTGAATTTTAATCACATATCCATAGGGATGGTGCAAAGGTCGTGACTGTGAAAAATGGTCATAAGTCACTTTTTCACTTCCGTGGTAACTTTGAACAGTCACTAAACTAACGGCTGTAAGTCGATGACTACCTGTATTAGCCCCTTAATCATGAACGGGCTATTTCTAAATGCCTTCAACCGAATGATTCGAGATTCCCCTCTCCCGCGAACTGCAGCAACAAGACCGACCAAACCAAATTTCCCGCGGCGGTGATAAATTACAGCTCCGTCAATGATTGGCTAGAAGCCACGCCTGCCTGTCAAAGTTCCCAACGCGGCTGGGCCAAGACGCAGGAAAATGGCGACCTTCGGTGCTCGGCTTCGAGGGGTCTTGTGCGGGGCTGGCTTGGGACTGTGCGGGATAGTGTTGCTTCTGCTGGTCGCGATGCTCCTCCGAGCCTATGGGACGGGACCTTCCGGCCCGGCCGTAGGGCTGCGGGAAAAACAGCAGCAGGGACGGCAGCGGCGAATAGAGGCTGCCTTTAGCCCCCGCGAGTTGCAGGAGCTCAAGGACGTGCTCCAAGGTAGAAAAAAAAAAGCAAAGATGGAATCGAGTGTAAAAGCAGTCATTTCTTCAAAGTAAATGTTTCTCTCTCTGTTTTTAATAGGAAGTTAGTGCTGGTGGCTCGAGAGAGCAAAATTATAGCCTTGTGTGCGTCTGATAGGCTAAATTTGTGTTTTCCTCTGTTACTGGCTTAAATGGTTTGGTACAATAGGTAGATCTCCTGTCCTGGAGCAACTGCTTAGGACGGAAGGTCGGTTCTGCTGCGTCTACCTCTGCTATTTCTATCTCTGCTACAACTCCTGCTTTACTCATACTCTTTTACAATCGGAATGCATAAAACAACTTTATATTCTGCCCAGAATAACACTAGCTTTTTGAAGGCTCTAAGTCTAAGCTGTATCGCTTTGAATAAAATCGCTTTTGGGGTTCTTACCCTTGTATGTAGTTCTGTCTATATACGACCTATAGGAATTCAGTTTGTAGACACAAATATATCAGAAAAGAAAGTGTTCATATGATTTGATCTGTTATAAAATACAGGCTTTGCACCCTGCAGGACTTGGAAAGTGTTCATATGATTTGATCTGTTATAAAATACAGGCTTTGCACCCTGCAGGACTTGGGGAAATTCTCATAGATGGATTCATTTCCCCCCTTCTTTCCTTTCTCAAATTAGGTGGGGTAGGAAAGCTCTTTTCTAGGCAGTCGCCTTTCAGTCACTAAATAACTCGTAGTTTGGTCCCCTTTTTATTGGAGTTGAGCTGTCATTTTAACTTTTGTCTTAAAAGGAGCTATTTTAAGGTGCCCTTAACACCTTGCAGATGCATTAATGCAGGCGTGTCAACCAATGGGCTGCAGGCTGCATGAGGCCCTGGACAGCTAGTAATGTGGCCCAACAAGATCATAAACTTTTAACATTATTATGTGATTCTTAGTGATCAAGTATCTTATATATTTTATATCAGACCAAGACAATTCTTCACTCATTGTGACCCAGGCAAGCAAAAGATTGCCGATGTAATGCTCTATTTAGGCTGCTGACAATGTGATGAAACGTGCTGTAACATCACAATGTACTTCCCTCCCACATCAGGATACAAGTGCATGGAGTGTGTTTGCACAATGATTTTGCCGCAAGCCATCAGTTTGTCATTGCTAGAACTAGCTGAGGCCCTTTATAACTTCTACTTACTTGGAAAGAACAGTTGACAGCAATATGCAGTTGCCTATTTGCTAACCAGGCAGATTAGAGAATGACAACTGTTTTGCAGGAACTGCATTAATTTCTGGCAAGTTTCCAGGTACGATTCAAAATGCTTGTCAATACCTATGAAGCCTTTTGAGGCTTGGATCCCCAATTACTGTGGGAATATCATTTATTCCACATTCAATCTTCCTGCTTGATTTCTATCTTCCCATGAGGTTTCAGAGAAGCGAGTTTTTTCATGGTTGTCCCAAGCCATGGTTGGGGGGATTATTTTTCTCAAATCTAGGAAGGCCCATAGATTTCAGAAGCTGATAAAATCCCTTCTTTATTGCATCCCTTCTTTTTGGGGGGTGGGGGGATATTAAGGAGATGGCGGTAACTTGCTGTGCAGTCTCTGACAACTGTTGTCAACTTCGGTGTTTTAATATGCTCTGTGGATTTTTAAAGTATTTTAAAATCCCTATGCACCTGTGGGGAAGTTAAACATGTATTTGATATTTTATTATGAGCTTTTCAGAGCCTATGATTTGGGTGGCATACTGTCAAATACATGAATTGCAACAAACTGAATTCTAATCCCTCATGTTGTGCAGATCTTTCTGATAGATTTGTGCACAGAGATGTGCTCCCATCTTAATGTACAAAGCTCTTACATGATAGTTGTTCACTATTATCACAAAAGTTCCACAAATGCCCTCTTATTATTGATACTAGGGTTTATCAATCCAGTGATAATGATAATTTCTTATATAAGTGCTTTAAGGCATTTTAATGGGTGCAGTAGTTCATCTGTTTGTGTTACTCTTCTGAAATATTGCCTCAGCATTTTGAAAAATGCTTTATCCTTTCCAAAAGGTGCTGTCAGAATACAAACAGTTTCCTTCTCACCAGATGATCAGAATATAAGAGCCCTGGAAGAATTTAAGCCATATATTTACAAAGGTATTTAAAATTAAATACTTGTTTTTATTAGTGACAATGCTATTAATTGCATAGAAAATATAATTGTTGTACTGCATTTATTTCTTGATAGAACTGAAGCACCAAACTGAAAAAATGTGGTTCATTATTTAATAAAGTTCAAATGAAAATAATTGTGTTGGTGTTTATAAGTGTTAATTATAGATGTTATAGGTGTTTCATCCGTGAAGAAAATATGGATTCTTAAAAAACGAATATGTATTTGAACAATAATTTAATATTGTTTTTCAATTGGAGTTACCATATTGTCATAAATTACACAGATCCACCAAAAGGATAAAACATGTATTTTTCATGGCGAATTCTTCCAGTTTCATATTAATGTAAGTGGGAAAATGAAATCCCTTTCAATCAGTAGAGATACTGTACTAAGTTATGACCAGCGTTAATTGCTTTGTTGAATACACAATGCTGAGCTATATGTTATGGATTCTAACTCAATACTTGATTTGTGTATAACATAAATATAAAATTGTAAGCTAAACAAACCATGTGACACTTAAGTGTGACACATGAACAAGATAGTGTAAACAGAACTGACAACAGTGGATTAATGGTATGACTCTATAAAAGGAACTTTCTAGTGTTGTTAAAATTTGTTTCATACCATTTGGAGAAAAAAAGTACTTTTGCAACTACCCAAAGATGTTTTGAGGGGTGTATGTATGTGTGTATCTGCAGCTTTAAGCATTCTTAGGGGGAAAAACACCACATATTACTTAGAAATTAAGTCCTATTTATTTCAATAGACCTTATTCCTTGCAACCTAAAATTCATGGGTTGAACCAGAAAGTGCAAAGTTCTAAAAATCAATTCAACTAAAAAAATCAATGACTGCTTTAAATAAGCCACTTTCTCTCAGGCACGGAGCAACAGCATGGCATTAAATTTTCTTAGGAAATAAATTTGGTTCCCTGTTGTTTAATCACTAATTTTGTTAGGTGCTTTTCTTTGCACCAAGTTCCCATTTTCCTCCTGTTATGATGGCAAACCATTGTTCATCCGTCTAACTGCAACACAAGGATGATACTTTAGGTTTACTTTAGATTATAGCAATTTCTGAGATAAAGTATGAGTAGAACTTTGAGCATCCAAAGGTTGCTATGTATATATTCAGAGTAAGATAATAAATGCTGATGCAAGAACAATATAAATAGAAGGATTATTGTATTGCAGATGTTGTCACTGCTCTGGTCACAAGGGGAACATTAGCTGAGTTTGCTAAGATATACTTGTTTTTTGTCCCCAGTGAATAAGAGAGAAAAGAATAATTTAAGAATGTTTTTTCTTATTTATATTATTTTCTTTAAAAACAGTTCGTCTACATACAGAAATACAAAAACATTATCCCTTACTTCAGTTAACCATTTTCCAAATATATAATCCACTATTCTTTTACACATGCCATTCATTAAAAGTCTGGTCTCTTTACCCAACACACAGTAACTTCAAAATTAAATCCAGTGGCTAACTTTGTTTAATTCTCTTTCCTGAAGCTTTTCCTGTAGTGTTTTCTACCTCATTCATTCAACATGAAGTCATCGGAGATTATAGCCATCTATTCACCATCCAGGGATCTAACCCTCAATTACAGCCATATATGCTGCTTGCACATATAGATGTGGTCCCAGCATACCCTGATGGATGGGATGTCAGTGATCCCTTTTCTGCTGAAGAACATGATGGATTTATATATGGAAGAGGAACACTAGATAATAAAAACTCAGCTATGGTATATCGATTTATCTCCTTTTGGTGGGATGCAGAAATACTATGAGTTGCAGGAGTCTATGAAATTTTATGTACCATATTTATGATAAATCATGGCTTCCATTACACAGTGTGGGAAGAAGCAGTCAGTTTTCTTTCTGTATACTGCAGTTTTCAAAAGCATCTTAGTGGTTTTAGAATTGCATTTGGCTGACCTTCATAGACTTCTTAGATACAGCTTCTGCTTCAACATCAGTTACAATTGCTCCTCCTGGAAAACTGAAACTGAAAAGGTGGAAATTACACTGGCTTTTCCTGCTTTCACTGAACAAATGGCTCTATTTTTTCCCAGAATAAATTAAATTGATGGTTTTAGTGGGAATACAGGTCATATATGCTATTTTGAAGTGAAAAAGTGGTTGGTAAACACAAGATAAAATGGAAAAGTAGTGAAAGAGAGTCAAAGGATGTGGCCTGTGATTTTTGTTTGTTTGGGGTTTTATGACTGAGTTAAGCCATTTGGAGATTAAAAGTAGTAAATACTTCCATTTCACTATAAAAAATAATGGTAAATTGAGTCTCCCTTGGAATAGTGTGATTTTAATGAACTTGGAGGCATGCAAAAATGGAGCTGGGCTGCATATTTTCTACCTCCGCTCTAATCAGTCTTGCTCAGTTCTCTGGTTACAACAATCTGGCTAACTAGTGATTAAAACAGCCTTTCTGAAACGAATTGACTCATGATTGACCTGGGTCTAATGAAATGCAGAGCTTCAAAGATCAGAGAACAACAACTCTAACTCAGATTGGAAAATTGGAGGGAAAAGCAGTAATATCCTTCTTTTGTCCCAATACCCTTTATGAAAGCTGGTTCAAAGCTAGAAACAAGCAAGATGAGCTATCTGATTAATAGTGTATTAGTCACATAGACCATTATTAGATAATTATAACAACATTTAACATGTCTGCTAATGCACAGAAGACTTCGATTAAGAACGGATGAAATACGTCTTCTGAGAAAAATAAAATATTGCTTAATCCCAGGATTAAGAACCCATTATTGTGTCCATAAGCTTCAAAACTAAACATCTGCCACCAAGTTGACATGTCTATAATATGACAGAAGGGGAAAATGATTAAATACATGATGAAACTATGATTTAATTTACACAAAATACAGTTTTTGTCTTGGCTCACTTCACTTTTGGAGTACTGTTTCTGGTATGCTGCCAAAGGCAATTATAGCTGTTGGCTTGAAACAGATTTTACTGCCCTGTTCTGATGTTAACAAAGCATTATTTATTGCATGATTGAGTCAGTTGTCCTGGGGGATTATTAGAAATGGTGGGCAGCATATATACAACATTTTAAAAATATAAAAAAGAGAAGAAATCCACACACAGTCTTTGATACAGTAATTTATTTTCATCAATGAAAAGGAAGCAAGATTACATAAAGATAGGTGATACAAAAAGTTACCTAGGACACACTCTCACTTGCATCTAACACAGGAACCTCTTCTTCATGTATTCTGTATTCCAATGATGATGCTACCTTCACCTCCTCCCCAGTCCATGAGTGATACAGGCTTAACTAGTCTTTAAGCAGCCTTTTCCTCTTTGCTCTAATACCATCCCTGGGCAGCCTCAAGGAGTAAATGTAAAATCTGTTAGTCTTCACCATCTGTTATTGTGGAAGAAAGGCAAGATAACTAGGGACAGAGGCTAGAGGCTCCTATTAAATAGTGATCAGCTATAGGGACAGCAAATTTCTTGCCAAATATTATTTATTTACATTTATTGGCTGCCCAATTCCAGGGAACTCACTGGATTATGCTCACTGGAGGGTGGATAGTACTATATAGCTCCATAATAGTCAAAAGCCTTTAGTGAATAGAGTTAAAGTCTCTGTATGAGCTCTGCTTTCTGGTAGTCTAATTCTTAATAATAACCATATATGGTACAACTCACTGTGTAACCAAATGTAAAATAGTAATTATTTCTTTCTAATCCTCAGGGCATTCTACATGCTTTAGAGTTTTTACTGAGACGAAATCACAGACCACTAAGATCTTTCTATATAGGCCTTGGGCATGATGAAGAGGTATTATTTATTTGTTTGCTTATATGTTTGTTTGTTTGTTTTTAACCTCTCAATTTCTTCAGTGTTTTTATTATTTATTTTGGAGTTATAAGCGATCCCCCAAAACTGAATGGTAGGTTCCAAGTAAATTGTCTTTTAAAAATTCTGTTAACCTGAATGTCTTTAATGTATACTGTGCTGATAAAGTAGAAGGTTATTTCCCATTTATCATAATTTGGCAATATAGGAGTATTTTGTTTTGCTGAATGGGAATATAAAATATTGGATGTTTTTAAATATTGCATTTGGTACTCTAAATTAAATCTCCATTTTTAAAAAATGCTTTTTAAAAGGCACCAGGCTTGGAACTAGGAGAATGTGAATTCTAGTTCCTTCTTAGGCATGAAAGGTAGCTGGGTGACTTTGGGCCAGTCATTCTTTCAGCCCAATTCATCTCACAGGGTTGTTGTGAAGAAAATAGGAGAAGGAAGGAATATTAGGTATGTATGTTGCCTTGAATCATTTATAAAAATAATATAAACTGGAGAAACAAATCTTTAAAAATTTTTCCAATTAGGATTTAGATACATGTGAAAAAGTAGCTTAGATATACAGTATAAAGCCATAGTGGCACAGTGGTTAGAATGCAGTATTATAGGCTAACTCTGCTCACATTACCAGGAGTTTGATTCCTTCGATTCTGACATGTTCAAGGTTGACTCAGCCTTCCATCCTTCCAAGGTTGGTAAAATGAAGACCCAGATGGTTGGGGGCAATATGCTGACTCTGTAAATCGCTTAGAGAGGGCTGTGAAGTGGTATATAAGTCTAAGTGCTATTGCTGTAGTAGCTTTTTAAATGGGATTATGTATAATCTCTTTAAATCCAAACTTCAGTGGTTTGGGCTACAATTAGTAAATCACTTACATCCTTTGCTGAATAGTAATTGCCTTCTTTCGAAAGACTAGCCAAGGGCTTAATTTAGGAAAATGTTATTCTAATTCCCTTTCAGGTGGGTGGTAAAAAAGGAGCAATGAAAATTGTGGCTGAGCTGGAATCTAGAGGGGTACAACTTTCTTTTGTGCTTGATGAAGGAAGCTTTATTTTTGATGGAGTCATCCCTAAAATAGAGAAACCGGTAGCTGTGTAAGTAAAGAAATACAATTTTTTCTTTCAGTAAATGCAGTTCTTTACCTATTTTATAGAATCAGGTTTAAACAATTGAATGTTCGAAGCCATGCCTTACAATTCACAAATAACTAAAACTGCAATCTATCAATTTATTTTGTCTATTTTTTGCCCACCTTTGTTCTGGAATGATGAAAGTATGGACCTTGTACTGTACTTCATATTCTTCAGGTTGTACATATGGTAACTGATTAACTTTAGGTATATGAATGCCTGGTCACAGTAGCCCCCAGCAATAGAGTAATATACATAGACCTACATCTCCAGATGGCTTCTGCTCTTCTTACAAGACTAGAGTAACCAGGGCAACATGTATTTTGTAATATCAGATGGGTAAGGATTTGCCCTGAAGTGCCAGAAGATATTAGTAGAAATTCCTGCTGCCCTGCACAGCAGGCAGGAAATCTGACTGCAAAGTAGATTAGATGATGCATATGTGTTGGTTTAAGCAAAGCAAAAAAGATCTACCATATTTTTCGGAGTATAAGACACACCCTTTTCCCCCCTAAAAGGGGTGAAATTTTAGGTGCGTTTTATACACCGAACGTAGCCCCGCCAACCCACTGGGCCCCACCCTTTGGCCTCTGCCTCCCAGCAATTACCTCCTTGCAAGCAAACAGCAAGAAAAAACAGCTCCTTTCAGCTTCAGCACAGCCTAATTAGCACAAGTTGATTAGATCAGCCTCCCGACTCTCAGCTGATTTGCTCTCAGCTGTTTTGTGCAGGGTTCTGCTGCTTGCTCCAAAGAGGTAAATTCCTGGAGCAGATTTTTTTTTTCCTTGTGGTAATCAAGCTATGCTGAAAATGAAAATGAAAGTAAAGCAGGCTGTTTGCTGCAAGGAGGCAAAATTGCTCAGAGGCAGAGGGAGATTTCTTTTTCTTCTTTTCCTCACCAAAAAAGGTAGGTGCATCTTATACTCTGAAAAATACGGCACATAAAATTGTCCAAAAAGCAGCAAAAGTCAGAAGTAACTTCTTGTTTATTCAGTTTGAATATAACGAACAGTCCAACTGTATTGCATTTGGAATTTCATTAATGGTTTTTTCTCCCAACTCATCAGAATAGGTATCACAGAAAAGGGTGCGCTTAATGTAAATCTCAGTGTAACATCTCAAGTTGGCCATTCTTCTGCCCCCCCTGAGAGGACCAGCATTGGTATTCTTTCTGAAGCCTTATTCAAGTGAGTGTCTGTCTTGGGAACATATTGTCATTGTGATTCAATGCATATCTAATGGAAAAAAATCTTATTTGGGTTGAATGCAGCACTTTCCAGTAAAACATATAAAACACAGTAGTCTAAGGTGCTATGTTAAATATCTGCAATAATGACAGGGCCAGAATAAGTCATGAATAGTTGTCAGTTTTTAGCTAGGATGGTTTACAACCTATCTAACCCATGTAACAATGCTGGATGTTACAGTCCAACACATCTGCAAGGGGGAAGTTACGGTTGTAGAGTTCTGAAATAAGTGGTATCTATTTATTCCGTTCTATTGTGTTATCTTCTAGAACCAGTCACGATAATTTGCAAAGCGGGTCATATATCTAGGTTTATGGGGTGCTTTGTTGCTGTGCCATTGAGAAGGTTACTAGGGAACAAATCTTAATTTTGGGTAATGTACAACAAACAATCAAATAAAATTCCAGATGCATAAAAATAATCATTGTAAAATATTTTAGAAATCATTATTAAAAAGAAAAATAGTACAAATTTTATAAAAAGTTTAAAATATATCCACCACAAAGAGAGAGTAAAAACATCTCTGTCTTAATCCATTTTACACTGGGAATAGAGAATGAGATTTGATCCATATCTTCTCTTTGCAACATAGTATGATTGAAAGAAGATACTTTCAGAAAAATGAATTACATGTTCCACATTCTAAGGGATATTTTTTTCTTAAAACCTGTTTTGAAAACAGACAGATTGATTTACTGTTTAAGAAAGAAGTTAACATATCTAACAAACTTACATCTTAGTGCAATGTATCATCTTAGGCACAAAATAATTCAACTGAATGTACTTTATTTTGCTTTTGCGTTTGATTCCCATAGGTTGGAAACACAGCCTATGCCCAATTTGTTTGGTCATGGACCTGAAATCATGATGTTTGAACAACTGGTACCAGTGGTGAGTATTGAACAGTACATGTTTTCTTCATTTCTACATCTTTCATGAAATACATTGATCATTTTAAGGCATTTTTCCCCCTTGGGAGAATTCCCATGAATTGCTATACTGAGCACTAGGCAAATTTACTTGATTTTCAGTGACAATGACTCTGGGTGGCATCATCATACAATACATGCAAAACAGTTTCCAAAACATCCCCAATCACCAGAAGAGCCATTAAAAGATAAAATAAGGTGCAGGACTTGCCACCAATTTACCCTGAAGCCTGAGAAAACAGCCAGGTTTTCAGAGCTCGATTGATCATAGCCAGGGTGGCAGCCAGATATATCTTAGAGGGGGATAATATTCCTTGATTTCATCGGGTGGCACTGATTAATGGATGAGACATGCAGCATGTCAGTGCTTTCTGAACATTTATTTATTATTGGTTCGATTTATATGCCGCCCTTCTCCGGAGACTCAGGGTGGCTTACAATGTGTTAAGCAATAGCCTTCATACTGTTGTATATACCTGCTTAGTAGGGTTTTCGGCCCCCCCAAGCGATGTTCTTTTTTATACAAAGTCAGCTTATTGCCCCCACAAACCGGATCGTCATTTTACCTACCTCGAAAGGATGGAAGGCTGAGTCAACCTTGAGCTTGGTGATATTTGAACTTGCAGTAATTGCAGGCAGCTGGTGTTACTTAACAGTATTTTAGTCTGCTGCACCACCAAGGCTCATATAGAATGGGCAGATATTGTGGATCAGTGTCTGCTCAGATAGTTAGATCTGTGCCATAAAGGACTTTACAACCTACAACCTTTTGTTTAATAATGGTTCAAAGTTACAATGGCCTTAGAAAAAGTGACTTACAAGCTTTTCTTGAAATATAACTATTACACTACCCCTGCAGTCAAATGATCACAGTTTGGGTGCTTGATAATCGGTTCCATTCATGATGGTCACAGCATCTTGCAATTATGTGGCTGTTATTTGTGACCTTCCCAACTGGCTTCCAATAAGCAAAGTCAATTGGAGAAGGCAGATTGACTTAATGACTGCATGATTTGTTTAATGACCACAATGATTTGCTTAATAACCATGGTAAAAATGATTAAAATCAGATCTAGTCAGTTTCACTTAATGACCAAATCGCTTAATGACTGAAATTCCAGTCCTGATTGTGATTGTAAGTTCAAGGACTACCTGTATAGGTAATAATCAGGATCTTGACTTGCATCTAATAGCCTAATTTGTTACCTATTACTTCCTTTATTATATAGATTCAATTTCCAATTTTCTTTTTATTTCATGTAAAAGAAGATTGTATCTTGGCTTTGTTCACAAATAAAATGAGTACTCAACTCAGATTATAATTAATAGAATGTTATAAAAAATAATTCCATAAGAATTATTCCTCTAGAAAGAATGGACTGGATTGTAGTTTGTATATAGTAATTATATTGTTCTTTTGAATGGTAGATAAATATGTAGAATAAAGTCTTATCTGGAGATACATTTGCTGATGTGTATATACTCTTCCCATTCCCAATCCCCTGCTATTCAGTTCAACTTCCCCCTCAATATCATCATGGCAAATCTGTGGCTCTTTGGACCTCTTGTTGGCTGGTAAGAAAGAAGATTCTTTATCACTCTCCTTTCTTGAAACCTGCATGCATAAACTAACTAGGAAATGGTGGTAGTAGGTTCTTGTCTCTGTAGTATTCTTTCTTGCTGCCTTTCTCCTCTTTTCTTAAAACTGTTCTTTTATTTTGAGAAGATGCAACAACAAAAATCTGCAAAACTTTCTTGCTTCAACTGCATTGATCTTTATCAAATTCTGAAAAGGCAATTATGTGAGTGTTAATAGAATGCTATCACATCTGTTTGTGGGAGGAATAATATCTGCTATTGAGTGAACTGCAAGTGAAAATTATGCCCTGAGCAGTTATCAATTAAAATTTATTATGTAAAAGAGAGCAGAGGAAGTAAAAATAAGCTGAGTCTGGGTAAATAAATGAAAAATATACTGGAAGCTACAGGCAATATACTTCACTGGATTATATAAAATTCAAGTGCTTCTTCATTCTTCTCCTTTTTGTATCAATTACTGTACTTCAATTAATATAAAATATTGCTGCTATTTTGCAGAGTACAGAAAGTTATATTGGTTTAATGTGGATACCAAAGAAACTTTTGCCTTTTAAATTTTTATGCAGGTTTCTTGAGCGAACTCCTGGCACTAATGCTTTAGTTCGGACCACCACTGCAATCACCATGTTTCATGCAGGAATAAAGGTATAGTGGAAGACACTAGGTTGGGAAAAGTCACAAGAAAACTGAATGGAACAATTGGTGGCCCCTGCCCCATTTTTGTAACCTACAGAGACCTAACATTTGCATTGTAAACTGCCCCAGAGTTGCTCTCAAAGCAAGATGGGCAGCATATAAATTTAATAAATAAAAATTTGATAGGAAAATAAATCCAAATAAGATTTCCCGCCATTTTTGTCAGAAAATAAAACAAAGCAGGTATATATGCCAATGGAAATGCTTAACATACTTAAACAGAACAAAAACGCAACCAGCAAAAAAAAATTCCTCCATTTCCACCCAATTTTCTGATATTGCATTATTGCCCTTCCTGCAAAAATAATCTATTATGCAACTAAATCTCTCATCACGACCTTTAACTGGACAAAACAATTGCATTGGAGGGCAATGCTTTATTAATACTTCAAATTGGCTAATTTACAGGAAGTATCCAAAATCCAGAACCCACGACTTTCAAGGGAATGAAATTTGGAGAAATTGTGACTGCTTCTGTGCTACTGGCTGCTGCTGGGCAACTAGTGTAGTCATGTGATCTTCATTTTCAATGTTCCCCAATGTAGTCTAACAATCTCTCACTTACTCACCCTATCCAGCAGCAACACTTAGGGATGGAGGGAGAAAGGAACAGGAGGAAGGAAATCCAGTATATCTTTATGGGTCAATATTCACCTGATTCGTGCTGCCCTCTGTGCTCCTACCCCTCTCCACATGGCACTTCCAAGCACTCTTTATTAACCCATGCTACCCCACTGCACATCTTCCCCAACCCAAACAGCATCTCTTGGGCACTCCCAAGCACCCTACCTAACCCACACACAACACCCTTCCCTGACCCATATGGCATCTCTTGCACATATCCATGCACTGTTCTCAATCATCCTGCCTCTGCACATCAGGGAATGCTTGTGCCACATAAGTTCTCTCAGTGTTTTTATGTTTGCATCTGTGTGTGTGTGTGTGCGCGCGCGCGCTGGTGCATGTGTATACACAAGTCATACATACATGCAATGTTTTGGATTTAAAGGAAAAAGAAGTTTTGAAACAGGTGGGGTGCTTTTTATCTGGCATATCTAAGCTGAACACATCTTTCCTTTTAATATATATAATTTTATTTTAAAACATTTAAAAAGAAAAAATCTAATAGAAATTAACATAAAGTAAGAAAAAGAAGAGAAAAAAAAGCCAAAGAAAAACTAAAAATGCAAGACTGTAAAACAAAGTAAAGAAAAATAGAAAAAAAAATAGAAAGAAGTGGCTTTTAATTTTCTTTACACTAAGTACAATTATAAATTTGCCTCTTACTACATACCTTTATTTTTTTATTATATACTTTTTCTAGTAATCAAAACCACAAATAATAAGATCCTTTTTTTTTGTTTCACACAAAAAGTTTATAAAGGATTTCCAGTCAGCAACAAATTCAATATAAATGAATTGTCCTTTCTCTTATAATGGAAGTCAATTTAGCCATCTCTATTCATCATCTTTACATATTGTTCCTCATTGTGAGTAATATTGATTTTTTTCATTTTTATGTGTAATTATCTTGTTGCAGTTATTGTGTAGAAAAGCAAAGATATATGACTTTTCTCCAACTATTTGTCTATCAATTCCAAAAGAAAAACCTCCGATTTCAGTTGTATATTAATCTTTAAAATCCTCTGAATCAGTGTGTATATTTGAATTTCTAGCTATTTTTACACATCCACCAAACATGATAAAATGTCCCTTATTGTTATTAACATTTCCAGCATAAATTTGAAGTCCCTTAATACATTCTTGTTAACATATTCATCTTTAATTAAAACCTCCTAATGCACCAAAATTTTTAATTTGCCCATTGATATTTCAATTCCCTTTAAAGGATCTTCTAAAAGCAACAGTAAATCACTCGTAAAGCCCCTAATTTATAATTTTCTTTTAAAATCTCCTCCACAATCCTCTCGTCTTATATCTCTATTCAGTATTTCCAAAACCACAACAAACCAAAAAGGGGACAGTGGGCATCCCTGTCTTGTTCCTTTTCACATCTCACAAGGGGAACACATCTTTCCTAGACAACCCTACAGCTACCTAATCCCAGAAAACAAAATGAAGCATCCACATCTTTACATGCTCCAAAACATTTTTGTCCTACTAAACACACATATATACATAAGATGCACATTTTACAAAGAGCTCATCATATTTATCCTTGATAATTTTTGATATACAATAAACTTTAGTCTACGCTTGAGAAAAGTAAGCTTGTTGAATACTGGAAGTGCTTTGTTAGTCTGATGTCTGTGTGTGTTTGTGTGTGTGCACACATGTAGAAAATAGAATACCAAAGATGTAGAGTTTTATCACTTAGTAATGTGGCTATTGTTAAACAGCGACATCAGCTGGTAGAACTGGGACAAGTTACCCAAATTACAGATCCACAACTCTAAATGCTGCTCTGTCCTGGTCAAGTGTAAAATGGAGATGTGTCTATCTGTGACTTTAAGTAAAAAACAACAACAATAATTTAATCCACAATGCAGTTGCTTTACTTGCAAATAGTTCATTTATAATAAAACAATCCAAAAGAGAAAAAAGTTAGGAGGGGAGGGACGACTGTTGGGGAGGAAAATATGGTCCAGCAAATCAACACCTTGGATATATTTCAAATTGAATCTCTACTCACTCTTTTATCCATTTTTAGGGCTGGCCCCTAATTTAAGATCATGGGTCTGCTGTTGTCACATAGACATACCTGCCCAGTGTAAATTTGTATTGATGTAAGACATGAATTGGCAGCATTTTTCTTTCCCTGAAGATGAACCCACATTTCCCTGTGAAATGAGTTAAGGACAAGCACAAATGGGTCTGTCTAGTATTCTTCAGAAGCAAGCTATTCACTGGCATCTGACATAGCATGTGGCTACATTTTTTTCAAGTGTATATATGTCTGCCAAGTTCTCCTTTTGCAAAAAAAGAGGCAGAGCTTTGCCTAGCGTTAATAGAGTGGCATGGGGGAAGACACAGGAATAACGGCATTTAGAAAAGAAGAGCAAAAGCAAGCAAGTGCTTCAGTAAGCCATGTTTGCAAGTCTCCTTTAAACTTAAAGAGATGCTGCCGATAAACCAGGAACTATGTTATGGCTTCAGGTGAAACCGCTTTATGTTGCTGCCACAGATCTGAAATGCTTGAGGATAACTCTACCCTCGTTTAGATCTTTTTTTTTCTTCTTTCTAGTCAAATGTTATTCCACCAAAAGCTGATGCCACAGTGAATTTCCGCATCCACTCGTCACAAACGGTTGAGGAGGTAGTATGATGAAGGGCAGTGGAGTTTTATATGCCTTTGCTCTTTTAATCTTAGAATTTGCCATAATTCAGGCCTAGGCTTGTAGAGTTTGACATTCTTGTTTTACTTGAGGAAACATTAAACAGGTTACCTGGTTTAGATATAGTGCTGCATCCTCCCTCTTTAAGCAGCTTGATATAATCTGGGCTGATACTGTTAATAATAATCCTGTTTTTTGTAGTCAAGATGCTAGCTGGTTCCATGTCACAGCTACTGGCATTCTCCTGGATGCTGCAGCAGGGGGAGATAGGGCAAAATTGGCAGTGATCAACAATTGTATTCTCTTGTCCACCTTAGCACCATGTAGGATTCCAGTAGCTACAGGAATTCTCTCACCACCTACATCTTAACTAACACGAAGTCCTAATTTATGGGTCCTGAATGATACTGTTATTGGGAATCCTGCTCCCTGCTTGAGAAAGCAGAATTCTCCCTCCAGAGGTATTGGAGAACCTGAGCATTTCCAGAGGTCCTTCCCTTCCCACTAAGATTTTAGAAAAGGAACAAACAGTTTTTAATAGCTGAATATTGCAACACAATATTGTTTTGAAGGCAAAAGGCCCTGAAATCTCTGGCTAAGATTTTCTGGAAGCTTGGAAAGACACACCAGTCGGAGAAAGCAATATTGAACCAGATAAAACAATACGTTTCGGTTGAAATCAGCCTACACCATTTAGCTGACCGGCTGCCTACATCAGAACATCATCATGCTTATGTTTTATGTATGATAGGTTGTCCGTACAAGGATAATAAAAACAAAACAGTTAAATCCCTGGTGTTGCATCTCCTTTTTCCTATGTCTTTGTGGTAGAGGAAGGCATCAAAAGAATTTTTTTTTTTCTACAGTATTTGTGAAAATAAAACATGAAATAATGTTTTAACCAAATGTTAATACTACAAAGTTTCTTTACCATTCTGCCTGATTGTTGTATTCTATTATATATTTCTGTATTTAGTATGAGTGATTTAAATATTGGAATTATATCTGTATTAAAGAGACCATTAAAATATATATTTCGATACAAGGATCCAAATTCAAATTGCAAGAACTTTCAGTTCTTTTGTATAACAGGAAATAAGATTTCAGTGATGAGATTCCTGAAAGATTCCTGTCCTGTCTACGTATTTTTATTGGGAGAGCTGAAACTGGTATGAAGGACTGGGGGAGAATCTGGAACTTGTGCTAATATCATGATGAAAACCATCTTGGCTGCTTTAACTTGTTTGTTCTTTGGGTGTATTCTTAGATCCTGGAAATATTAGACAAAACAATTAATGATAAGAGAGTGAAGATAGAAGTGATGGATACCTTTGATCCACCCCCCGTTAGCCCCTGGGACGATCAGACCTTCGCTGTACGGGTTTTCCGCCAGACCATCCTGGATGTTTTCCCAGATGTTGCCAGTGTAGTTCCAGGTAGTGGCAGATGCATGATCATTAGTTTCTCTTTTGTTTCCATTCAATCCCAACATTGTTTCCATTTTTTTCCTCTGTTCTCTTTTGTTCCTCTGCTTTATTCCAATACATGTGGATGCACATTAATATATGGACACTTCAAATACTATTAAAATCACATACATACATGGAAACAATTACATTTTTTTCTTTGATGTCTGGGAGCTATTTTTTTTTAATTAATATTGTTACTATCAGGTACTGGTGAACTGGTGAACTACTGGTGAACTACTTTTTTTTCAGGATCATGTTGACCTGTGCATTTATTTCCTTCACTGAGACCATCTCTGCTATTCAATTATGTCTTGTAGCACTGGATTGTTCCAGTACAAAACTATGAGTCTTTCAGCCATTATTTATTGCCTTAAAAGATTTCATACTTAAACATTTAATTGTTTTCTATACTCTTTAAAAATTCAGGAGAGAATTGTCAAAGCTCATGATAAAACTTTGGCACATAAGTGTCAGTGCAAATTAAAGTATAGTACTGATTAAAATAGATGCAGCATTAGTTATTTCAAAACTGCTAAACATATAGACAGACAGATGGCTATAGATATAGTTTTATCACAAAACACAAAACAGATAAGCAAACAAAACAAAAACATACTAATGGCTAACTTTGTTGTACTGATTATTTTTTTACAGGCATTTGTATCGGAAACACTGATAGCAGGCACTACAGCAGTCTCACAAAGGCTATTTATCGATTTAACTCAGTAACCTTTAAAGCTGATGATTTGCCAAGGTACAGTACAATGATCATTCTTAATGAAATACTGGATGACAAACATGAGTGTTTTTCAATAAGACATAGCCATTGAAACCTGAGAAAGAAAACAGTCATTCATATTCCTGAATTATGTGAATAGCATTAGTTAAAAGATAATAGAGGGAGAGTTAAAGGTTGTACCTGTCCTGATAAAAAGCAAAATGAAAATGCAGGATTTTTTCTAGAACTAAATGAGTATTGGTAATTATCTATCAAACTTAAAGGGCAGCCCATCTCATAAAAAGTGACTCTGGGCAGGGTACAACCTGGTTAATTAAAACAGTAGATCTATAAAAATAATAATTACTAAAATATAAAACAGTCTTGTATCTAGTGCTTCTAATAAAACAAAAGCACCAGATACAAAAGAATGTGAATATTAACCACAACGATGGAACCATCTTAGAATTTCACTAGTCCCCTGGGAGCCATGGGTTTGATAACATAGCCAGGTCTTAAGGGACTTCTGGAACATTACAGGGATAGAGCTAGCCCCACTTTGGAGGAAGGGTGAGGGAGGGGGTAATGTTATTTAAGATAGGTCCCATGGCTGAGAAGGCCCTGTCTCTTGCATCCTGCCTAGCAAACAGGACGCATAGCATGCCTTCTCTACCAATCTGATGGGATAGGCAGATACAATTGGGAAGAGGCAATCCTTCAGACAACCCAGCCTCATTCAATGAAGGGCTTTTAAAATTAGAACTATTACCTTAAATTGAACCTGGAAGCAAACTGGCAAACAATGCAACTCATGGAGCTGAGATTAATACCTACGCTGCTGCATATTCCCATATTGTCAGCTAGATGAATCAGAGAAATTAATGGCTTTACAAAGTATTTTCTAATTTATATTTCTGTGTTTGGGTTCATATATTGCACTCAATTATAATGCTCACTCATTTGTGCATAATGTATCTCCAGCCATTTTAACTCTGGTTTATGAACCAGTTCACAGTGTTATTTTCAATGTCATGATTATAAACACACCACACCTTGAGTTAATGGGTTTGCTGTTTTGGACACTTTTTAAAAGAAACTGAGGATATCAGGATTTATATAAGTAAACTATATACCATATTTCGGAGTATAAGACACACCTACCTTTTTTGGTGAGGAAAAGAAGAAAAAGAAATCTCCCTCTGCCTCTGAGCAATTTTGCCTCGTTGCAGCAAACAGCAAAAAGCCTGCTTTACTTTCATTTTTGTTTTCAGCATAGCTTGATTAGCACAAGGGAAAAAAATATGCTCCAGCAATTTACCTCTTTGCAGCAAGCAGCAGAGCCCTGCGCAAAACAGCTGAGAGCAAATCAGCTGAGAGTTGGGAGGCCGATCCAATCAACTTGTGCTAATTAAGTTGTGCTGAAGCTGAAAGGAGCTGTTTTTTCTTGCTGTTTGCTTGCAAGGAGGTAATTGCTGGGAGGCAGAGGCCAAAACGTGGGGGCTAGTGGGTGGGCGGGGCTACATTCGGTATATAAGACACACCTAAATTTTCACCCCCTTTTAGGGGGGAAAAAGGTGCGTCTTATATTTCGAAAAATACGGTAAATTCTTTAGGCACCTGACAGATAGATTAACTGGTTAATTGAGGGTGCTTGCACTTCCACCTGGGGTTTTGCCTCTGTTCAGAATCACCTTTAGGTCCTACAGTGTTGGCTTTGCCTGGGGCTAAATGAATATGTTGTTGATTCAGTCATAATATATTTGCTTAAAATGTTGCCACTCTGGAACTACTATAGATAGAACATTCTCCCTTGCTGGGAATGAGCAAGAACACTTCTGGCTCCATTGTCTTTTTCTTCCTTCCCTTACATTATTCTGGAGATTTTAAGAAAATTACAGGTCAATTTCAAACTGTTTTTAGGAGTCTAGGGAGAAAAGGCAGTGGCAATATCACCATATTGTGATATTGCCCTGAAGTTTCTGTTGTATTAAAGGCTTGATGTGTTTAAAACTCTTTGGGGAAGAAGAAGAATTCCTTATTTTAATTTCTTATTTAATTTCAGAAAGAAAACTATAGGCTCTTGACTCTGCAAACATGTGTCATTGAGTGTGTTAAATATAAGTAGAAATGCTGAAAGGGACATTCTCACAATAAAGACTGTATCATAATTAGGATTAGATTCTAATTATGTTTAGATCCAAATTTATTCATACTTAGGCAGGATTTTTGCATAGTATTAGGCTATTTAACCATGATTTTAAGGGAAGAAATTGGCAAGGCTTAAGGAACTCATTTCACTTCTCAGATTCTTCCCAATTGTAAAATATTGGCCCTGCCCCATTCTATGGGAGCTTTGGAGACCACCAATAGGAAATTCAGGGGCTATAGGGCCACAGGTTGTGCACTGTTATCATGAACATTGGGTTGTATAGCATGCTAAAACAAAATCAAACAATTCCATTAAGGATTACTGTAATATGTAAACTAGTCCCTGAATTTAGTTTTGTTTCTGAGTATGACTAAATCTGGATCTAAATTTTGGAGCAATGTTGCACTGCACATATATTTGTAATATAAAACTTTTACTTAATGATGTGACTAATTTGGCATTAAACAGCTGCTTTCTTTTCGCCTTTAATCAGATTCCATGGGTTGAATGAAAGGATCTCTGTGGAAGATTATGCAAAGCAAGTGGAATTTTTCTTTCAACTAATTCAAAATTGTGATTTGAACCAACCCACAGAGCCACATACAAACCTTCATGAGCTATAGAAACAAGAAAATATAAAGGCTTGTGGGAGTTGTTAGAAATCTGAATTATTCAAAGCAGCAGTGTTCCATTTTATTCTCGTGCCCAAACTTCTTTACTGTGTTAGAAATTTAAAGTAATAACACAACCTAGTTGCACTACAAGTTGTTGTGAAACAAACTACCATGTTTTCCTGAAAATAAGACAGGTCTTATTTTCTTTTGAACCCCAAAATAAGGGCTTGGCCTTATTATCGGGGGTCTTATTATTTTGGGGGTGCTCATGGTTGCTGCTGTATTGCCGTTCGTCAGCTGTTCGCCTGAGGCTGTGCCCGCGTCCTCACGACCCTGTGCCCTGTTCTTCAGGAGTCGACTCACAAGAGAGCAGCCACCCAGCACCTCTTCCCACGTGGTGCCCACTTGGCGGCCTAAGCACTCGCAGCCAGGAGTCCGGCAGAGAGAGGCTCCCTCCACATGCCACCATCAAGCCCCTCCTCTCCTACAGGGGTGGTGGAACAGAGCGGCCCAAAGGTGCCAAGCTGCATGAGCGCCTATCTTCCCCTGCTCGCATGCCTCCCAGCCTGACCATGTAAATGTGGGCGAAGCCAGTGAGCACCCAGCTGGAAGCGGAGAAGAGGCCGGTTGGGCCAGCTGCCTGCTGCTGAGTCTTCTGGGAGCCAGGGCAGCCGCATGGAGCTGGAACCATAGTGCGGGACGCGCACTCCCAGAACATCTGCTGCCGGCACAGAGTCTTTCGGTAGCAGCCACTCTGGAAGTGCACTTCGTGCTCTATGGTTCCAGCTCCGTGCGGCTGCCTCGGCTCCCAGAAGGCTCAGCAGCAGGCAGTAGCCCGACTGGCCTCTTCTCCGGTTTGGAAGCTGCAGAGGAAGCCATCCTCAGTTCTGGATGGTGGTGGCGTGGACTCAAGGACCTGGTGCTCACCGGCTTCGCCCACATCGTGATCCTGGGATACCACTCGATCAGTGAGTGGCGCTCTGCCTGGCCGGAGGGGGGAGGTGTTCGCTGGGTGGGCACCACGTGGCAAGAGGTGATAGGCGGCTGCTCTCTTGCAAGTAGGACGGGAGTTTTCAGGCGAGGGGGATGGATGGATGGATGGCAAGCGCCAAGAATGCTGGGGTGAGATAGAATGAGAGACAACTCCCGATCAGCTCAGCTGATCCGTGGGTTGTGATTAAGGGGTCCAGCTGCCATTAGCTGACTGGGAAAGGGAAGGGCTGCCTTCTGTGCTGGTCACGCCCACCCCTTCACTAAGGCTTATTTTCGGGGGAGGGCGTATATTTACACCCACCCCAAAAATCAGGCTTGGTCTTATTTTTAGGACATGTCGTATTTTCGGGGAAACACGGTATTAAACATAACAATTCAATAAATTATTCTGAACTACACAAAGAAATTACTATATGTTTCAGACTAGCTATACCTCAAAAGGCATTAGAAACCTGAAAACAATGCTGTCTGAATGAATTTGTCACTTATGCAATGATCTCTAAAGGAATTAGGTGTGATGACATCTTGACAAATGTAATATAATTCACCTCCCTTCTTCACTTCCAGCCAACATCCATGGATGTTATTGGAAAATAGTATAATATTTACATAGTGAAGAACTTTTCTGTTATTTTAACTATATAGAAGAGCAGTTTTGCATAAGAAATAACTTTTCCAAATATCAAGCAACAACCCTTTTGCACCTGCAGATCTGAGGGTCACAGGAAAAACTGGAGTATCTGGTGCCAAATGTTCAGTATAGCATTGAATTATCACTTGAAATGTGAACTATTTCACATTTTGCATTTCTAAACTTTACCTCTGACAGTTGTTTTTCTTATGCTTATTGGTTATTTCATTTTTAGTTTTCTTTTAACTTCTTTTTTGAGACCATATTATTTTAGTAGTTTAGCACAGATAAGACAGTTACGAATACCTCCAAAGTTGGCAGAACTACAGCATTTCTACTACACAAGCAAAAAATATTAAGGAAGGTGGGTGGTTCAGCAATGTGAAATATATATACATACATACAATCCAAATCATAAGTGATTTATCTCAGGAACAAAAGAGTGATTTATCTCAGGGACATATGAAACTAATGGCGAACTTTGGTACAGATAGTCCTTAGTTTACAACCACTTATTAGGACCAGAATTTTCCACCTTGTGTGGGAGACGTGGGAATTTCTGTAAGTCACTTTTTTCAGCACTGTTTTAAATTTGAACAGTCACTGAATGAAAACTCGTAAATCAAGGATTATCTATATTGTTACATTTTTAGAGGGAGCTAATTTACTAGATTTGGTTTCCTTTATTCACTGAATTAATCTATACAAGGCAAGGGAAATCTTTTTAATGTCAAAGCCTGTAGTTCTTGGAAACAAATATTGTGTAGACCATGTATTAGGGATGAGGCCAGTTTTCATAGCTGGTAAGAAAAGTGTCCATGTGCTGAGCCCAGGTGTCCTTCCAGGATTTCTCTTTTCTTTCACTGTCTGACACACTTTCCCATGGAAAATACCTTTAGTGGCTTCTTCTTGCTAAACCTAAATAGTAGGGAGACAGAGGGCAATTTTAGTGTGAGGGCAATTTTAGCCAGGCAACATCTGTATACCCTTTGAAATAGCAATTCATGAAATACAGGTGTGTGTGTGTGTGTGTGTGTATGATGAACGCAGGAGAGTTGTAGATTTCTCTTACTTTAATCCAGTGTAAGGCTCAAGAATTCTGGGCGCTGAAGTCCACAAGTCATAAATGGCCCACAGTTCCACACATCTGCTCTAATGGTTGATAGCTCTGACTATCATGAAGGCACTTTATGTTTATCTTTTTGGCACTCTATTCGCACTTGATTTTTTTAAAGCAGACCATTTTTTATCTTGTTAAATTTTTATATTCTTCAGTTGAGATATTACTGTATGCTCAATGGACAAATAATTATATCGAAGCTTATTGCAAGTTTCATACAGTTTGAATCCTTGGTGCTGATTGTATATGACTGCTACAACTTATTTGACTCTAATTAATTGCAAGATGTTGTAATTCTGTGGCCCATACCTTTTTTTCAGTCTGATGATTGCACTTGACTTTTGATTTCAAGTGCAGGACTACACTCCAGAAAATGTAACCAGGTAGTTTTGGAGTTTCTTTTAATGATTTTTTCCAAATTATTTTTTTCCACTGGAACAGGTTGTTAAACATTGATTCTGTAATTGACTTCAATTAATGCTACTTTTTAGAAAGTGAATGGTACAATATGTACATTAAATAATATACTAAACAAAGAAAGCTGAAGTTTTCATTTATGATTTGTTCATTGGGAACATTTATATGTAACTTTAAAGGCATGGTTATATACTCTTCCCTAATATTTATAATAAAAATGTGATTTAGCAAAATTTGTAACACATGACAATAGGGTTAGCAAAGAAAGATGATACTGTGATTCTTACAGACTTCATACTGCTTATTAATGTATTTTCACTTATTACTTTATCTGTATGTGCCAACTGCTAAGGTTTGACATTTTTCTTCTTGGCAATTAAAAAAAAGTAATTGTCTGTGAAGTGCTGTTTCAATATATCATATAAATCACTTTGGAATAGTTTTCTATTCCAGTGATTTCTCTACACTATTTCCTCAAAATAATAATTGCATAGAAATAAACCCACTAGTTTCCTGCTCTCTGTATCCTAAAATTCTTCTTTTTCACAAAAACACTAGGATGATTTGTATGTTGAATGCTCTATTTCACCCCCAGACTTTCATTGGTTCACTCATACAGGTTTGTAATCTCTACATGTCATTAATTATGATATAAAACACTTCATTTTGCTTCATTGCATACTTTTTTGAGATATTAAGCACAGTACATTTTTGAATGATCTTTTTGTCCTTCCAAATTATCAGAAAAAGGCAAAATATTCTTGTTCTTTTTAACAAAAAGTAATGGATCCATTGTCTAAAGCAGCCTCTGGCTTTATTAACTTCCATTTAACCAATATTTTCTTGGCAGATCTTCTTGATCAGGCTATGTCCTTGGATGATGAGAAGTGTTTTGAAATGGTTTCAGTGATTGGAAGTAGATCAAACACCCATTTATATCCAACATTCTTGGAAACACTGAAATGTTACCTTTTCCAAGATAATTAGTGATTACAAAATCAGTTCATAGAGGAAAGAGACAGTGCAACACTATTTTGTTTTGAATGGGTCAGCCCAGAGACAAGAGTGTGATTTTACTGCATGCCTAACAGTAGATGAAATGGTTTGAGAAGCTATGGCCCCAAATATTATAAAACTAAAAAGACAGCTGGGATAGAAACAAGGCTAACTTTATTCCAACTGCTTTAGTCACACTGTTTATCCATTAGAAAAAGTCTCCATTGCAAGAATTCATTACCTTGTGTAGAAAAAGAGTGGTATTCATCTTCAGGTTTTATGTTTCTACATTAATGAAATGCAAATACATAAGCTAAAATCATGCATTCTGACAAATCACAATAAGCTTGGTTTGTACTACACCAGTGTTTCTTAACCATGGCAATTTAAAGATGTATGAATTTCAACTCCCAGAATTCCCCAGCCAGCATATTGCCTGGGGAATTCTTGGAGTTGAAGTCCACACATCTTAAAGTTGTCATGGTTAAAGAAACACTATACTACACACTAAACAGAAATCAAACAAATTGCATTATGTCATGCCTTGATAGATTTCTGAAACTACCTATACAGTAGTGGGTTCCACTTACCTTTGCTACTGATTCGGAATTGGGAGTGCACGCACACACACGTTTCGCTCGCATGCAGGGCTTCTGCGCATGCGCAGAGCATCCATGATGACGTCCTGGTGGGTGGGTGGACCCTCCCACTGCCGCCACTACCGGTTCGCCTGAACTGGGGCGAACCGATAAAAACCCACCACTACCTATAGCAATTTAGTAAATGCTATTTAAAGGATATAAAATATGGTATTCCCCCCCCCTCCAAGATTTTCTAGTTGAAAATTTCATTATTTTTATAATGTATATTATAAATATTATTACATTATATTTTTATAATGTATAATCAATTGCAAAACTGAAAGTAAAAGTTTTGTACAGTATTGACAGACTCTTTTCCACTGTTGATTACCTATATTTATACCATTTAGAAAAGTTTTAAGGGATAAAAGTGCAAAAGCACTTTTGCTGCCCTTTGCCATAGGCTTAGTTGACTGTACTATATATTTCGTCACTCAAGCGTGGATTAGTTATTTGTCAACTGAAGTAAGATAACAAAGGCAGTGAGCTAGAACATTTTTGGTAACCTCACTTTTCCCACCAACCTTCACTTGGAGCCAAGGAAGCTACAGAATATTACAAGGTGGAGCTATACACTGTAGCCTTCCTCTTTAATGATTACACAAAGACTTATGGGAAGAGGAGCAAAGGAAAATAAAGAAAACACGAGGGTTAGTGCCCCCAAGCAATGGATTTAGAGTCCATATTTGGCTATCACCTTGCAAAAGGCCAAATGATCTACAGTCAAAGAGAAAACTGACAGGTTGGCCATCTGCAGGAAACTAGAGGAGTTGAAACAAAAGTCAGTTACATCTCATTGATTAATTCCATGAGAATAGTTAAGTTTAGTACAACAAATTCCCACCTGTTATAATCTTAAGCAGTAAAATAGATATGTGTGAGAGAGATGGTCTATAACT